CTCCAAGAGCTGTGCGTTACCTGCTGCTCTGCTGCCATTAGTCAGCCAGCCAGTCAGGTAGAAAGAACCAAAATCTTGGCTAGAGACATCCACATGGCTATGAATGAAGTCTGTAACTTCATTTCCAGAGGCTCTTTGGACTGCTGTGGGCACTGGACAGGCATGAAGTGCATATATGGACAAAAGATCGGTGAAAATAAATAAAAACATTTAAAAAAAAAAAAAAAAAAAAAGAATGAAAATCTTTACCTGGTTCATGCCTGCATTGGCAAACAGCAAAGTGGGATCATCCAACGGGATGGTGGCAGAAGAGTGAACATAGGTGTGCTCATTTTGTTTGAAGAAATTTATAAAACGGTCTCGGATTTCTCTTGCTGTTAGCATGGAGTCCATCTCGAAACGCACCTCAGGGAACTAACCAAAAGAAAGGATGATGGGAAATTAGGGGAAATAAAACTAAAAGTAGGCATTACACAAGACTCCTGCCTTCTCAAGCCAAGTCAAAGAATGACAAAGGTTAGCTTTTTTTGATCTTAAAATCTGGGTGTTGCAACGTCCCAGGGTATAGTTATTGCCAAAGGAAGATTTTTGCTGCACCAGCAGAGCGGCTGGCCATCTACACCTCTCAACCTCAACAGACATCAAGCACAGCAGATGACTTATTCATGTTTTCATTCATTACACAAACATGCACTGAGCATCCAATGCCAGGAATCAGAAAAGAATAATGGACTTCAGGGTCCCAGTGAGGAAGGGGAAAAGATTAGGAGACCTGGATTCTAATCTGAATCCTTGAGGGGGTCACTTCAACAAAAGGAGGAGTCTGTATCTACTGGCCTCTAAAGATTTTTCAAACTCTTTGTTAACCTGCTTCCTAAGAGTTGTACACAGTTCCAGATCCCCAAAGCCAGAGCTGCTAGATTTGGGCTGACACTTTGGTGTCAGTGGCAATGAGCCCAAGGATAAGCCCAACTGTTCCATAGGCCACCCTAAAGTATCAAGAATGTACTAACCTCTGGGCTCCTAAGAGGGCCAATCACTTCCAGAACACCTGGGTTCAATTCCCAGCACCTACATGGCAGCCCACAACTGTCTATAACTCCAGTTCCAGGGGATCTAAAACCTTCATACCAATGTATATAAAATAAAATCAATCATATACATATGATTAATATATATAAATTATATATTATTATACATTTATAACTATATATAAATAAAAAGAATGTACCAACCTCTATCTAGCCTAAAGTCTCCAGAACACTAGCTGGGAAAGGGCTTGCTGAGAAGAATTGGGGGTGTAGCTCAGTGATAGAGTATGCATTATTTCAAAATGAGCATGCTACCAGAAGAAAACCCAACTGAATAAGCCCAGGGACTCAGAAGAGAGGGAAGTAAAAAAAGGCAACTTTATAACTTCAAAGCCTTTTTTAAAAATATGTAATATAATGTCCCTGAAAGGCAGGGTATGTAGGAGTGTGTGTGTGTGTGTGTGTGTGTGTGTGTTGTGGGGGGGCACACACTGGACAGGACACAGGTTTTGGTCAGTGCATCAAAAGTGCCTAGTGTTGCAGTGGGTATCCAGAAAAATGAGAACTCTCTCATTCATGATATTATCTAAAATGTCTCTAGAATTCTAGACCCAGCTCTAACCTTAAAACATCACTTTAGCCTGAGGTTAGTCACTGTATGGAACAGGATTTTGTGAGGACCAAAAACTAATGAAATGGATACTATATACATCAAGCATAGAGATTTTAAAGATAGCCATAAGACATCCTGACTCAGCCAACCACAATCCAACTGATTAACTTATAACTCAACATATCAGTCAGACAGATGCCCCAAAGGGGCAAAAAGATGTTAAAACAGGCTGAGTGAAAAAAATGGACCAGCATTCCCACAGGGCCTTGCTGTTCATGACAAGCAATCAAGGTTAAGGTTTTCAGAAATCTTGTCTCTTGGCATTCTTTCACCCCTCCTCTGAATGCCTCTCAACAATGGTTGCAAAAATGAATTTACCTTTATAACAAGTTGTAGTTGTTAAAGAAAACTGCTTCTCTAAATAGTAACCTGAGGTAAAGTTACATTCCAAAGAACATTTGAATTTCCTATCTTTGCTTATTCATTCACCATAATGAACACGTATTGTGCTGAAAACCAAGATGGAGAGTCAGTTAGTGCCCTCCATAGGGAGGATCACAATATATAGAAATACCAAGTGTTAACTAGGATCTAACATGTTGGTTATTAGCCCTACAGAGGATGAAGACTATTCAAAGTTGTGTGCCCAGCCAGACAAAATCCCAGCGCTCAGGCTCAGGAGGAAGGGAAATTGAGAGCGGTGGCATGGGCCTGTTAATTCCAGCACTCAAAATGCCGAGGCAGGAGAACTGCGGCGAGTTCAGGGCCAGCCCGGGCTATAGCGGGGAGTTCAAGCTAGTCCGGGATGATAGGGTGAGAACCTAAAAAAAATAAAAAATAAAAAATGGATATGTCTCTTAGCGGGACTCCACCCAGCTGGGTCATTCTGATCTTTCAGGCCTGACCCTGCAAACCCCCTCTCTAAGGGATTAAAATTAAAGGAGGCACAACCTTAGCCCTTTGTGGTGACTGAACAGCAACCGCGATCTTCCCAAGGCCTTGGTCCTCGGAAGTCAACCAGAGGACGCACCACGTTCAGTGCTCCGAGTAAAAAGCAAAAGCTACTCTCAAGTTCGTGCTCCTACCGAGCCTACCAAGCTCGGCTCCAGCCTAGATCCCGCTCTCCAGGCCAGGGACCGGACGGCCAGACCCGGCAGGCTACTGCAGCTGCTCCTCCTCCTCCAAGGGCCGCTTCTGCTCCTAGAGCTCTCCAGGCCCTCTTGCTTTTCTCCAGGGTCAGGGTCCTCGTCCGGAGCCCACCGCCAAATTCCCCTAGTTACCTGCTCCCTCTGATGCGCAGACACGCAGCTGTACCCACCCGCCACAACCGGCGCCAGGCCCGTACCTCGCCATCCAATCAGAGCTCTCTCATAAAAAGTGCTCCGTTTCGCCTTGTCTCCCACAGACATTATTGGTCCACTCACACGCCAATCATCCGGAGCGCGAATGAGTTTGCATGCCGGTTTCTGGGAAGGTTGCTGCGCTCGGCTGATGCAATGATCAAGAAAGCTGGGACATGGGAGTCACATGACAGGGTTGGCTATTGCCCCTAGGAGGCCGACATTTTGGTACTTCCCTAATAGTCTACAGTTAAGAGGGATAAAAATATGAATTTGGTGGCGATTACAGATTTTGGTATAGCACTCCTATTTTAACTGCAAAGTGATACACAGACCTCAAAGGTTTTTTTTTTTTTTTTGGCCTTTTAAAACAGGGACCAGGCTGGCCTTGAAATCAGGGTATTTCCTGCTGCTCTACCTGTCAAGTGCACCAATCAGATGTTCTTATTATTCCCGCAAATAAACTTGTATTTCTTGTTTAAAGGTACTTTGGACGGCAATAAGTGCTTCAACCACTCCAAGGTGCTTTAGCACTTACCAATACCTCCAGCTGTCTCTTTTTGAAAAAGGGTCTGGATAAATTGTCCAGGTTGGCCTTGAATTTTTCAGCCTTGTTCCAGAGTAGGTTAGATTACAGTCCTGTGCCACCAGACATAGTTATATATTTGTCCTTCTTATCCCAATTTTTTGATTGTGAAAAGATAGAAATGACCTAACAAGTTAAAGGACAGTTGGCCTTCCATTTGCTTTAGAAAAACAGTCACCATTCAGAGGAAAGCCTTTAGTGGTGACCCACACCTATAATTCCAGTACTTGAGTGGTAGAGGCAGCGGGATTGGGAGTTCAAGGCCACCTTTAGGCTATAGTAGACTCTGTCACAAAATATCATGAACAAATAAAAAAACACAAGGCATTATACTAAACATACTACACAAAGTTTAATTTTTAAACTGTATTATTATATCTCCTAGTATCCCCTTTTCACAGATGAGGAAACTCCAAATTACATATTCCAACATGGAAACTTTCATTAAATTGTATAGTTTTTACAGAACAAAGAAGTCATAGAGGCAATTTAAAATACATTGGTTGGTATGTCAGAGAGGTGTATATAGCAAGGTGGGAAAGCTTTTCTGTAGGTCCAAGATGTTATCTGGTGACACCCTTAGCTTTTGAGTTGGTGGAAGCTAGTGGTTTGCTAAGTTAATAGAGTCTAAATGGTTTCTATCTGTTAGTACAAGACTTTAGGTCCAACATACAGATGGGTAAAGAAGGGCTGTTTCTAGAGGGCTAGCTAGATCCAGCCCAAAATAATTAGTCCCTGGGCAGCAACATTCCAGTCTCTCCACAATACTGAAATAAAATCTAATCAGTCGACTGACCAGTATCTGCCCACACAGCCTCTTTTCAATAGTTTTTGTTCACAAATTCATACCAAGACCATTTTTGTTTTGTTTTGAAGATAGGCCTCACTCTGTAGACCCTGCCTATCCTAGAACTTAAGATATAAATCAGGATGGCCTCGAACTCAGAAATCTGCCTGTCTCTGCCTCCCAAGTGCTGGGGTTAAAGGGCATGTGCCACTACTCTCAGCCTGGGATCAGTATTTTTTTTTCTCTCTCTCTCTCTCTAGCCTCCCTCCCCCCTCCTTTGGCTGTCCTGCAACGTGCTTTGTAGACCACACTGGTCTGGAACCACAATGATCTACCTGCCTCTGCCTCCCGAACACTGGGACCAAAGGCGTGCATCGCCATCGCCCCGGCTCCGCCTAGCACTTCTTAAAAAACAGATATTGTACTGTTGTCAAGGGATTTCTAGTCATTGCTCAACTCAGTAACAAATGACAAACTTGAGACTTCAAGCGACCTTCTGGCGGAGGCTTCTACGGGTCTTCGGAGGCAAGGGTTCTCATGTGCACATGCGCAAGAAAGAGCCGGTCCCTGCCTCTCTTTTGATTGGCTAGGAGGAGGCGACTTCAACCCTCAGCCAATGGAGCTTAGGTTTGGCTCGGACTGTGAGTGGCAGTTGAGGAAGCCTAACCGCCATGTTGAGCCGAGGTGGCCGGAGCTGCTGGCCCTGTCGAGGCCGAGCCCGAGCCCAAGGGCGGAATCCACTTTCCCTGACCTTAAGTGGCGTGAGTATCTGTGCAGGTAGCTCTCCTTCTGTACCGTTAGGTGCTTTCCTCACTGCCAGAAAGAAGAGGGACAAAACAGTACACTAGTCTTGCCCCATCGGCTAGGCACCGGGCCCAAGGCCCTTGGGATTTGTCAGAATCCAGGTGTCTGCATACCATAAATTAGGAAACAGCCTGGCAACCTCTACGTGGGATTAAATACAGGAGGCTGAATTAAAGTGCATAACAGGCCTTTCTCCATGCATCACTTTGGACACCATGCCCTTCTCAGGAGTTTCACATTTATTTCTGGTTGAGTCCGAGAGATTACATTTTTATTCATTTATTATTATTATTTTCTTGTTTTTCGAGACGGGGTTTCTTTGTGTATTCCTGGCTGTCCTGGAACTCGCTCTGTAGACTAGGCTGGCCTTGAATTCAGAGATTCAGTGCTGGCTGGCATTAAAGACCTGCGCCACCACCATCCAGCTAACACACAGGGGATAACGGTACCCCCTGTGAGTGTGTTTTTGTTCTTCCCTTTGTTGATATCCTGAAACGATCGCACTAGCCTAGCTTATCCTCAAACTCATATAGCCAACTATGACCTTGAACTGGATCTTTCTGTTTTCCACTTTCCAAGTGCAGGTGTTATGAGGGGAACCACCTGGTTGGGCTTTGAGGGTGCTTCAGTTGAAATTTTGTGTTTGAGGTCTGAAAGAACATTTGAGGTTTTCAAATACATTCAGGGTCTAGCCTGAGCTGCTAGGCAAGAGATAAGTTGCATGTTTTATTTCCTTTTTTCTTTTTAGTTTCTCGAGACGAAGTCTCTGTAGCCTTGGCTGCCCTGGAACTCGCCCTGTAGCCCTGTAGACCAGGCTGGCTTTAGGCTCCTCCCACATGTTTTATTTCTTAAGCCCTCTGGTAGGAGCCTAGGTAGTGTGTGTGTAACTTGTTTTTTAAATTATTTTTGACAATTTCGTAAAGGGCATAGCACATCAGGTCAAATTAATCTCCTCACTCTTTATTTTTCCTTCCATCCCCCAGAAGCTGAGGTTTTTGTTAAATATTATTCCCTTCATTATCTGAAGTAAAATTTGTTTTTCTTTTTTCTTTTTGGTTTGTTTGTTTGTTTGTTTTTTGAGACAGTCTCACTATTTATAACCCTGGGTAGCCTGGAACTATGTGGTCTTGAACTCATAGAAATCAGCCTGCCTGTGCTCCTGAGTGCTGGGATTAAAGGCTTGTATCACCACACTAAGGTGTTTTTTGTTTGCTTGTTTGTTTAGTTTTGTTTGTTTTTAAATAAAATGGTCATGTTGATCTCCAACTCCTTATTGTCCTGCCTCAGCATCTCAAGTACTGGGTTACAGGCTATACCACTATGCTTGGCTTGATGTGCAAGTTTTAGTTTGGCTTTGGTTTTCTGAGATTCTATCTCAACAGAAAATGAACACATTGAAAAAAATTTCAGAATTCAAAATGAAGTTTTAGGTGGGGGTGATGGCTCATGCTCGTAATCCCAGCATTTGGAGACTGAGGCAGGTAGATCACTGTGAGTTAAAATCCCTCATAAATAGCTCCCATTGTGTTTCTAATGACATGCTTAACTTCATTATATTTTGTTTGGAATTTGTTTTAACTTTCTGTAGCCTTGAAAAAATACAAAATAACCAAATTTTTTCTAGCTGACATTTCCCAGGGTTTCTTCTGCCTGGAAATGTGGTCATGGCTCCCGTCTGTGCTTGGTTGTCCCCTTGCCTGCACCATCCTTACCTGCTCGCCATTGCTTGAGACTAATTTATTGTCATGTAATATTAGTGAAATGTTTCTATAAAGTTCCAGTGAACTGCTCCAGTTCCTCCTAGGGAAGTAACCAGGGATAAAGGCCTATTTGATCTCAGTTAGGGGATCTAGTCTAAAAGCTAGAACTTTTCCCTCCTTTTAAAAAAATTATCCAAAATTAAGGCTGGAGAGATGGCTCAGAGATTACGAGGGCTTGCTTGACCTGGGTTCAATTCCCAACAACCACATTGTAGTTACAGCTATCCATAACTCCATTTCTAGGGTATCAGTACGCCCTCTTCTGATTTTTCTGGGCTCCAGGCACACATGTGGTGCACATAGACATGCAAGTAAAGCACTCATACACATAAATAAGCAAGTCTTATAAAAGTTATCCAAAACTAAATAAATAAAATGCCAGCTACACAACCTTTATATAGGAGAAGAGAGCTGGCCATCCGAAGAAGACATAAATGACTCCAAAATCCATATATTTCCTTATTAAGCAGCCCTTGCCACCAGGAACTGAATTGGATTGGTTGAACAAACTGAACTGCTCTTTCTGGTCTTTGATATTTTACCAAGAATTTTCCTTGGCACCTTTCTTTGGTGTTTTCAAAACTCAATTTGGGACAGATCTTTGAGCACTTAACCCTTTGTTTCATAGGACTGAATGCCAATACTTAGAAATCTTATTAAATTGATAAGAACAGATACTATCTTGATCTTAGCTAAAAGTCCAGTAAGCTGAGGCATTTTAAATAACCTGAAAAGTTAAAACATATTTGCTTGCTTATGTATTCTGACTGTAATAGTTATATGAGCTTCTCTATGCCATCGTGCTGGGTGTGAGTGTGATTTCCCTACTTTAGTCCAAGAGCATTTAATCGTGGTTACCTCAGTTGGGTAGTAGGGTGATCTGTAGCGAAGTGGGAGGGGTGGGGACCTGAGGACTACCTTAGCGGTGCCTGGTACCTGGACCTTAGGGGCGCAGAGCTGACGCAGACACTGACGACACTGCGGTGCGCCGCTTCCGGTCGTCTGCCCCTCGGTAAATGATTCCCCCCCCCCCGGGGCGTAGCTGGACGTCTTTGCGCCCCTCCTGAGCCCGCGACTGAGCCGCCTAAGCAGGCGAGCCTGTCAGCACTGCCCAAGCGCCAGGTACTATGGCCACGGATTCCTGGGCCCTAGCGGTGGACGAGCAGGAAGCCGCGGCTGAGTCGGTGAGTTGTCACCAGCTGCTGGAGGACCAGGGGGCCAGTGCCGGTCAGGGTCTCGGTCTCTTGGAAGGACATTGCTTAGGATGCTCGGTGCACGGCGGAGGATGCTGGCTGAATGGGACTTGGCTCCAAAGCTGGCTTTGATTACCCAGCTCCTCCCACGTTGTATAAACTCAGTTTGGGTGATCGGTTCCCCACAGTACCCAGCCATCTGCCTGTCTTCCTGGAAGTAGGGTTAATAATCAATTGCACTCATAACTTCGGATGGTAATTTTTGTTGATCTTTAGATAAGAGTTTCTTGGGCTCAGGGACCATGCCTTACTCATTTATAACTCTTCCCACTTGGTTGTTGGTGCTGGATGATTGACTGGTCTGTCAGTAAATCCTGTCTTGATTGGCTCTTTTTCTTAGCCTGATACATTGTAGCAAGATATGAGTTCAATAGTGCTACGTAGAATTCTGAAATTTGGTAGAGATTTGAATGTAACTCTCAGTATTTATGCCTTTGAATTTTCCAAGAATAAGTATTTGTACACTTTAACTTTTTCTAACTTCTAAAGAGTAAAGGTTTCACCCTGGCATGATGTGGCACCCGCTCATCGTATCTCTTGGAGGAATAGGCAGGAAGATTCCCTCAAGTTCAAGGCTACCCTGAAAGGAAAAAAAAATATTTTAACTCAAAACTTTAATAATAACTTATATAGTCATTAATCCACATAGTTTAAAGAGAAGTAGTGTTTTGGGCTTTGTTCACTGAGGAGGGTATTTTTCTTTTCTTCTTTTTTGAAACAGGACATATATATATATATATATATATATATATATATATATATATATATATATATCAGGAACTCCTGATCTTCTGTCTCTTACGTCCTGAGTGCTAGGACCACAGGCTTGCACCACTATGCCCTGTTTGAGAATTTGCTCTATAGATCATATTGGCCTGCAACTCACAGAGGTGCCTCTGCCTCCTGAGTGCTGCGATTAAGGGTGTGTGCCACCACTGCCTGGCAAGAAATATTTTTGATTAAGTTTTTAAAGTTAATATACAACGTATTAGGTTTCACCATAGCGTCTTCGTACATATGCATCATGATACTTTCTTTGTTCTCTTCCCTTACTCTCCCTCAGGTTGCTTCCCTCCAGCTGGCTCTCTTTCTTCATCCATATAGCCCTGCTTCTGCTTTCCTGTTATCCTCTATTTCCCACCTCCTATAAGAACTCTTCCTCCTCCCTCGTGATCCTATTCTAGTTTTGTTTGTTTGTTTTGCTGTATGTTTCTCTGTATTGCTTTGTAGCCCATCCTGAAAGTCGCTTTGTAGACCAGGCTGGCCTCACAGAGATCTGACTGCCTCTGCCTCCTGAGTGCTGGGATTAAAGGCGTGCACCACCAAAGCCCGGCCCCCTTTCTAGTTTTGTGACCTATGAATACACATATAAATAGGTATACAAACACCCACATATATAATTTTGCAGTATGAGAGAAGATATGTATTTGTTTTCTTTGGTCTGGTTTATTTATTTTGCTTAACATAGTGATTTCCAGTTGCACTCATTTTTCTTTATAGCTCCATAAATTCCACTGTGTATACCACATTTGCTTTATCTCTTCATCTATGAATGGACATCTAGGCTAGTTCCATTTCTTGGCTGTGTAGCTATAAATGCACATGTGTAAGTATCTCTTTGGTGTGTTGACTTTGTCTTTCATCCTTTGAGAACACCAAGAGTGGTACAGCTGCATCATGTGTACCATGTTCTATTGTCAGTTGTTCACTTTATTTTTAATATCTGTACTGATTTCTGTATTGGTTGCATTAACTGATCTTGTTACCATTTCCCAAGTCCCAAGTGCTGGGATTACAGGAATGCATAGTTGTCATGCACAGTTCATGCAGTTCTTGGCATTGAACTTAGAGTTTCCTGGGTGGTAGACAAGCACTCTACCAATTGAGCTACATTCCCAGTCTCATATTTCCTTCTCTTTTTTGGGGGGTGGGGACGGGATTGTCTATTTAGTTGATTGGCCAATTCATTAATTGAATGTTTTGGGGCTTGGGGTTTTATTCAGTTCTTTTTAAAAATTAAGACAATTTTATTGATTGCATATATTATAAACTTTTAACTCAATATATAGCCCAAACTGGAATTTAATTTTCAACAATCCTTCTGTCTCAGTTTTCCCCAGTTTGAGGATTAAAGGTATAAACCACCTGGCCATGATCCCATTCTTTATACCATTTACTAGATGATAGCGGAGTCTCTACACAATATTAAGTATTAGTTAATAATATTTCATGATTAGTGTAACTGCTTTATGCTAGATGTAAATAAAAATATTCCCTGTCATTTATTTATTTATTTATCTTATGGATGAGTGCTCTGTCTACATGCTCTCACTCCTGCATGCCAGAAGAAGGAATTAGATCCCATTGTTGATGGTTTTGAACCACCATGTGGGTGCTGGGAATTGAACTGGGACTTTTGGGAGAGCAGCCAGTGCTCTTAACTGCTGAGCCATCTCCAGCCCCCTATTAAGATATGTACATTCTCATGGGTGGACATAAGTAATACCAGGATATTTCTCTGATAATTGTTGCCTTGGAACATATCTCTGATCAGTTTTTTCTTTTCTAGTCCCACCTGAATTTGTCTTGGGTAATTTTGGTTGTGTCTGGTGTCACAGTTTTCCAAGACTTGCTAGTTAAAATATCAGATTCAGCACAAAGCATCTTGAATTCGAGGATGTATGTTAGCTGTTAGCTCAGACCTACCCCACTGTATAACTAAATCGGGTCATTGCTGCTCTGCCTTGTAATCTCTCCTGCCTGGTGTTGGCTGTCTAAAGTAAGACTGCATTTTCCCCAGTCTTTGCATTTCTTTTCTTTCGGGACACAAGAAAAATGACAGTCAGTTCTGACGAAATCTTACCGAGAAAGTCTTTGGAAAACAAAGCATTAAGCAAGCTTACAAATTATAATTCTGTGTAGAAATTGTAATTAGGAAATGTGAGTTTGGGCCTACTATATAATCTTTTTTTTTTTTTCCTACTGCTGTATTAATGGGAAATTTTGTTATTTTCTTTCAACCATTTGGAAGTAAAAGGGACTCAGCAGAACAAGCTAATGAATCATTGCTACTGAATGCGCCTAGTGAGTAGGCCTTGAGAATTGTTCTTCCACTTTCGTTAGGGAGGCTTTGTTGACTCACAATCTTTTAACTGATTTTCCTGACACTTTCCGTTCCTCCCACATTCTCCATTTAGCTGAGCAACTTGCATCTTAAGGAGGAGAAAATCAAACCAGATGCCAATGGTGAGTAACTAAAGCTAGTCTGAAAAGAAATGATTTCTCTTTGGTATTTCTACTTTGATATAGCAACTACTTGGAAAATTAGTACATTTATACTAGACAAGGGACAGTGAATACTGATATTTGTTTGACTTGGGTATTAATAAACTGGGTTATATAATTAAGGAATGTTTAACATAAGAAGGAGAATACCTAACTAACATGTTAAATTATTCAGTTAATTGCTTACTGTAGTATTATGTTGACAGGGATGATTGTTTTTAACTGTTCTTTGGTTTGTAGTGGGATACACATAAAGTTTGAGCAACTTGTCAGTTTACATGTTCTAAATAGTAACCTGAATTTATATATGTTAAAAAATGTAAGGTGGGGGGCTGGAGAGATGGCTCAGAGTTTAAGAGCACTGGCTGCTCTTCCAGAGGTCCTGAGTTCAATTCCCAGCACCCACATGGTGGCTCACAACCATCTGTAATGAGATCTAGTGCCCTCTTCTGGCCTGCAGGGATACATGAAAAAGGAACGATGTATACATAATAAATAATAAATAAATCTTTTTAAAAAAATGTAAGGTGGAGGAGTAGGACTTTAGCTTAATGTAAAGTGCTTGCATACATATACAAACAAGGCCCTAAGTTTTCAAGAACCACAAAACAAACAAAAACTAGGATCAGAACAATGTTAACATTTATCTCACTCTAAACAGGCAATCTCCTGTATATTTTTACATAATCATAATGTTCTTTGTATATTTCCATTAGTCAATAATTTACATAAATGGAAATTTTATGGCATTGTGTTCACATTGACAGTATGATTTGCAGGTATTTTGTTGAGCACAGAGATACTTTCTAATCAGTGCTGTTGTGGTCAGCATTCTATACTATTTCAGAAATGTCAGTGCTGTGGCAGAACTATGCAAGTTTTTAAATAATACCAGGTGAATAATCATATATAAGCAGTGTTTTTAAACTTTATTTTTTAACTTATGTATTTTATATGCATTGGTGTTTTGCCATAGGCATCAGGTTCCCTGGAACTGGGGTTACAGACAGCTGTGAGCTGCCATGTGGGACCTGGGAATTGAACCCAGGTCTTTTGAAATAGCAGTCAGTGCTCATTACCAGTGAGCCATCTCTCCAGACCTTCTAAACTTTATTTAGAGAGAATAAATTGGTTTTAGTAGTTGCTTGGTTTCCTTTCTTGTTTTATTGCAGAAATTTGATAATTTCTCCCCCTAGAATTAGAGTTGTCTGGGTTGCTAGATATGGGATAAGATTTTGAATAACATTTACTTTGTATCTGATCAAGGTGCTGTTGTTAAAACCAGTGCTAATGCAGAGAAAACAGATGAAGAAGAGAAAGGTAATATAGCCTTCAAGCTATGCAAATGAGGTTCTATGTTCTAGAAAAAAAGTGTTTTTTCAGACAAGATCGTGCTATGTAGCCCTTGCTGGCCTGGAACTCTATGCAGTTGAATTAGAACTTGTGGAAATTTTCTTTCCTTTGCCTTGAGTGCTGAGACTAGTGGCATGTGCCATCTTACCCAGTTTTGTGTGTGTGTGTGTTCTCACATACACACTTGCATGTGGAAGCCAGAGATTAACATCAGGTTTCTTCAGTCACTCCCTGCTTTTTTCTGCTTTTGAGACAGAGTCTCACTATGTAGCCCTGTCTGTCTTGGGACTCATATGTGTATGGAACTCAGAGACCTGCCTACCTCTGCCACTGTTTCCTTAGTGCTGGGATTAAAAACCAGTGCCACCATGCATGGTCTTTCCACCTTATTTTTTGAGATGGTCTCTCATTGAACTTGGAGTTCACTAATTCAACCAGACTGCTGGCCAGCAAGTCCTAGGACCAGTTTGTTTCCTTGCTATCATGACGCTTTACTGTTAGACCCAACTTGGGTTGACATTGGATAGTGCTAGGATAAAGTTCAATTTAATCAGTATGTAAAGGAATTAATGGTTTATATTTCATAAAAATTTTCATTTTTTTATTATATGTTAAAACCAAAACTAATGTACTTGAGTTAGGAAGCCCAGTTTATTACTTCAAATACTTATAACTGAATTTTACAGACTTCTTTTTAAAGATGTATTTATTTGTCATCTATACAGTATTCTTTTGTTGTTGTTTCACTATGTAAATGTTTTATTTTAATGTTCAAAGTGTGGAAGGGAGGGCTGGCACTCCCTCAGGCCTGTTTCACAGGTCCTCAGTGGGCTGGTGAGTTCAGTATGGATACTTCTTCTTGTCCAGATTGGTGTCTGGGAAGACTTCATTCAAGTCACCAACGGTTATCTGATCAGAGGGGATGATGTTTTTAATCTTCTCCTGCTGCTTCTCATATTCCTGGATCCTGACCTGGGATTCAGACTCGAATGCAACACAGTTCTTCTCTTTTTCCATTGTCCACCAGGGCCATGTATTTATCCTCGGGCATTGGAACTTTCAGAGCATTATACTTCTTTCCAAAATCATCCACCAAGCCAGCCTTGGCCACATTGGCCTTGTAATATGCACAGTCAATCGTTGTGATTTCTTAGGCAGATTAGCCAACCTGGTGAGGAGGGTCTCATTCCAGGACCTTAGGGAGTTTGCAATTGTCTTTTGGTTTCAGGGTATGGTCTCCACCAAAGACACCCAATCAATGGTTTTTAGAGCAATCTTGGGATCCTTCACTGACCCTGGCGGAGGACTATCTCCAGTCACATATATGGTATTCTGCCTGCATGTACACTTTCATGCCAGAAAGGGCACCGGATCTTATAGATGGTTGTGAGCCACCACGTGGTTGCTGGGAACTTGAACTCAGGACCTCTGGAAGATCAGTCAGTGCTCTTAACCTCTGAGCCATCTCTCCAGCCCCCCAATTTTATGAACTTTTAAACACTCCTCTACTCTTCTTCACAGAGGACAGAGCTGCTCAATCTTTACTCAACAAGCTCATCAGAAGCAATCTTGTGGATAACACCAACCAAGTAGAAGTCCTGCAGAGGGACCCAAACTCCCCTCTCTACTCAGTGAAGTCTTTTGAAGAGCTTCGCCTGTGAGTATCCTTTGCTTTCTGCATTCAGTAGAGATAATGGCCTGGTTTTACATATTTTTCATACAGCATATATTTACCTACATGAGGTAATAATAGGCATTTAGTTTCTTAAGGCTATTAAATACAGTGTTCAGGCAGTCTATAAAAGCTCTAGCTGTATTTGCACATTGTGTTCAGTTGTTCTCAGATACTATGTGTACCAGGGAAAAAGAGAAAAAAAAAATCTCCCATATACTTTGCTGTGTTTCTAAATCGATAAGTGACTTTCACTTTAATGGTTTTTCTAGGAAACCACAGCTTCTTCAGGGTGTCTATGCTATGGGTTTCAACCGTCCATCCAAAATACAAGAGAATGCATTGCCTTTGATGCTTGCTGAACCGTATGTAACTCAATATAACTACAACATATATTACTTGCTATTTTTTTTTTTTAATTTAAGCCTTTTGACTCATAACTAATAATCCCAGATATTTAGGAAGCTGCGGCAGGAGGATGAAAGGTTAAAGGTCTGCTCAAGCTATAAAGTGATTCAAGGCCAGCTTCAGCAATTAAAAAAAAAATGTATATCAGCTATTTGGCTGGCTTTTAAAAATAATTTTATTACATTGTGTGTGTGTGTGTGAGAGAGTGTGCACGTGTGTGTGGTGTGTGCATGTGTGTGTGTGCGCCCACGTGCTCATGGGTCTGCACGTGCAGCATGGTATGTATATGGAGATCAGAGGACAAATTGAGGGAGTCCCCGAATTCCATCATGTGGTTCCTAGGAAATCAAACTAAGGTCATCAGGCTTGGTAGCAAGCACCTTTACCTACTGAGCCATTTTGCCAGTCTGCAATTGTTTTTATTCTCAATATATTGTTATGAAAAGCCTAAGACAGTGAATTTGAATGACTTTTATAGAAAAATGCCCATATACCTGCTACCTAGATTCTACCACTAGCATTTTATTCTTATTTTTCACGTATCTGTCTACTAATAGATCTTTTTGATGTTTTTGCTTGTTTTTGGTGAGGTGTGAGGTTGATTTTAGTGACAGTAAGTATTATTTTGAGACAAAATCTCAGTATAGCTCAGTCTGGCCTTATTCTCTTATGTTGCCGAAGATGACTTTTTCTTTTTCAATACATCTGTTTGAGTGTATGTAACATGTGTACAGGTACCTTAAGAGGCCAGAAGAGGGACTTAACTACATCCCCTAGACTACTGACCTGGTGCTGGGAACCAAACTGACATCAAGAAGAACAGCAAGCACTTACAAATATAGAGCCTTCTTTCCAGACTTGATGGTTTTGAATTTCTAATCCCTCAGTCGTCACCTCCCAAGTACTAGATTTACAGGCATACACCACCATGCCAAGTTTATGCAATGGTGGGGGTCAAACTTAAGGCTTCCTTCATGCTAGAGGAATAATCTACCGAGACACATTCCCCACCTCCCTAGATTTCTTATTTCTACTTGTGATGAGAAAGACATTTCCCTGATCTTGACATTTATTTTCTTAAGTTTTGTCTACTCCTTTTCCTAAGTTTACATTTTTGGTAGCTTATATTAATTGGCAAAATAGTGGATTTTGTTATGATATTTTATATCTCTTGGGGGGAAAGAAGGGAGTTTTCAAAATATGGTTTCTCTGTGTAACAGCACTGTCTGTCCTGGAACCCAGGACAGATTGCAAACCAGGTTGTATTGCTATTGTTTCCTTAATCCACTGCCGCTTCGACCCCAAATAAGTACACAGACGCTGTATTAGTTATAAAACTGTTAGCTGATGGCTCGGGCTTCTTATTCGTTAGCTCTGTCATAATTATTAATCTGTTTCTACAAATCTATGTATTTTCATGTGGTCTTGGCTTACCGAAGAATGCCTGGACCTGTTAATCCTTGTGGTCTACGTTGTGGCTCCTTTTTGGCAGGCTTCCTCTGCTTACCTTTCCCAGAATTCCCCTCATCTTGCCCTGCCTACCTTCCTGCCATATTCACCAAACAGCTTTTTATTCATCCACCAATAAGAGAAACATATACAGAAGGACATCCCCCATTAAGGCTGCCCTTGAACTCACTGAGATCTGTCTGCCTCTGCCTCCTGAGAGGTGGCATGCACCACCACCACCTGGCTAAAAATCTCATTTTTAAGTTTTATTCACTTCTGTTTTTGAAAAGTTTCTTTTATGTGTGTTTTGCCTGCATGAATGTATGTGTGCTACTTGCTTACCTGGTGCCAGACAATGTCAGAAGAAGGTATCATATCCCCTGGAACTAGAGTTACAAATTGTTGTGAACCACCAGGTGGGTGCTGGAAATTGAATTCAGGTCCTTGGCAACAGCAACAAGTACTCTTAACCACTAAGCCAACTCTCTAGCCCCTTGAAAACTCTCTTGATGGTGGAGCTCCTGAACTTGTTTTTCTTGTGCAGCCCACAGAACTTAATTGCCCAATCTCAGTCTGGTACTGGTAAAACAGCTGCCTTTGTGTTGGCCATGCTCAGCCAAGTAGAGCCTGCAAACAGCTATCCCCAGGTAAGGACTTTTGGAATTTGGGTTTTTACTAGCATATAGGCTAAAGGTGATAATAATATTCCTGGACTAAACCTCAGTGTGGATGGTCAAGGTTATTTACACTTGTAATCCCAGTTCATGACAGGCAGAGTCAGGATGGTTGGGTTACTGAGTTTGAGGGTAGTATGTGTGTAAGTTACAGACTGGCTTGGGCTAAAGTGAAACCCTATCTTTTTTCTTCTCTTTCTAAATGGTTAGCCCTGAAACATACATACAAGTAACTAGACTGAGCAGGTTCTATTTATATATTTAGGAAAACACACACACACTTAACAATTAATGAAAAAAGAGTCAATGAATTTGATTTTTGTTTTGTTTTGTTTGTTTGTTTTTCCAGACAGGCTTTTGCTGTTTAGCTCTGGCTGTCCTGGAACTTGCTTTGTAGACCAGGCTGGCATTGAACTCACAAAAATCTGGCTGCCTCTCCTTCCCAAGTGCTGGGATTAAAGGTGTGCGCCAGCTTTTATTTATTAATGTTTTAAGTTTTATGTTGCCTATACTATAGGTATGTTTGTGTACTAGGTGTGTGCTTGGTTCCTGCAGAGACCAGAAGAAAGCATTATATCCCTTGGAACTGGAGTTACAGATGGTTGTGAGCCTCAGGGTGGATGCTGTGGATAAAACCCGGGTCATTAATACTTTTATGAGCATATATTTTTGTTTGTTTTTTTGAGACAGGGTCACTTTATTATGAAGGCCTGACTGTCCTAAAATTTGTTTCTTGGATTCAGTCCTTCTATTATCTAATAGTTACCTTTTTTGTTCTCCTTTCTACATGTTATACTGTATCCACATGTACATTGTTTACACACAGACATTATAGACTAGAATCCCCACATGAAAGAGAAAGTGTGTTTGTTTCCTTTAAGGTTGTACAGCCTTCCTTAATATACTCTAAATCCATCCATTTTGCAAATTTTGGATAGTATTCCATTCTATTTAGGTATGAAATTTTCATTATACATTCTCCTTAAACCAAAAATCTTTTATTATTTTTTCAGAAAGGGCCTCTATTCCTCCTCATCTTTTAAGGTCTCTATTTCAAACTTTACTGAAACTTACTACATAATTCAGGATGGCCATGAGTGCCTAGTTATGTCCTGAGCCTCTCCTGTGCTGGGATTATAAACATGGGACACCACATCTGGCTCGATCCCTTTTTATATAAACCAGAACTCAAAGTGAACACAGGTAGAATGTAGAAGTCCTTGACTACTGCTAATAAGCTTGATGCTTTTACGTGTAGGAAAAACTTCATTTTACAATCTTTGTAAGTTAGAGTTCTAACAACTACTAGGAATGATAGTATATGCCTGTAATCCTAGAATTTGAAAGGCAGAGATAAGTTGAGTTTGAATGTAAGGATAAACTGGGCTATATGCTCTTCCGGAGGACCTAGCTTCAACTTTCAGTACCCACGAGGCAGCTCATGACCATTTGTGACTCCAGTCCCAGGGGACCTGACACCCTTCTGATCTCTTGGGCCACTGCACATACTTGGTTCAGACTTTCATAAAGGCAAAATACACATATAAATACAAATTAAAAATGTTGTATAGCCAGGCTGTGGAGGCACACACCTTTAATCTCAGCACTTGGGAAGTAGAGGCAGGCAGATCTCTGTGAGTTCCAGGACAGCCAGGGCTACACAGAGAAACCCTGTCTTGAAAACTTAAAAAAAAAAATTTATAAAGACAAAATTGTCTGCCACATGTGCCCTAGATGGACAGGTAGGTCCTAATGTGAAGGCCCCTGGGCTCTCAGTCTGTCCTCTTTTCTCTCCAGTGTCTCTGCCTCTCTCCAACCTATGAGCTTGCTCTTCAAACAGGAAAAGTGATCGAACAGATGGGCAAGTTTTACCCCGAACTGAAGCTAGCTTATGCTGTTCGAGGCAATAAATGTGAGTATGAGTATGTGGGACTAGATCATAAATAAATATAATAACTTCTTTTAATTTTGAGAAACTTCAAAATATACCCAGGAGTTAAAACAGTTCAGTGAACACATGTATGCTTCCTACCCAGATTCAGAAACTTAACATTTGCTGCATATTCTTTATTGATATGTTCATACATTTTTGTTAAACACTTGAAAGTAAATTGTCTTATTGTAATTCATTCTTCCTAAGTCTTTCAGTCTGCACCTCATATGGACATTTTGTAATATAATGTCTTTGTTACAACCAAGAAAATTAACAGTTCCCCAGAAAACTAACATCTGCTTTACCCTTGCACATTTGTACACAAAATTTTCTTTTTAAAAAAAAACTTATTTAATTTTTTATTTCATGTTCATTAGTGTGTGAGTGTCAGATCCCCTGGAATTGGAATTACAGACAGTTGTGACCTGCCATGTGGGTGCTGGGACTTGAACATGGGTCCTCTGGAAGAGTAGCCAGAGTTCTTAACCAATGAACCATCTCTCCAGGCCCCCAATATTTTCTTTAGTTGCTGAAGTCTTGTCCTACAATCCTGCTTCAGCCCCCTGTGTACTGAGATTATAGAAGTCCACTGCCATACCTAACTCCTTGTTTATTTTGTCATTTTTATAATGTTTTGCTACACCCTTAACTTAGAATTTTATTAATTCTAAATTTGATTAACTGTGCCCATTAGATATTATAGTGGCATCCAAACTTTCCTTAAAATAGTAACAGAAAATCATTAGTATTAAATACAAAGTAGCTACAAAGTATCTCTGAGTGGAGAGCCTATGGAATACCAGAAGAAAACTGTGTTGTCCACAGTGGACAGAGGTCAGAAGGTCAGTGAGCAGATTGTCATTGGCACTCCCGGGACCGTCCTGGACTGGTGCTCCAAGCTGAAGTTCATTGACCCCAAGAAGATCAAGGTGTTTGTTCTGGATGAGGCTGACGTGATGATAGCAACTCAGGGCCACCAAGACCAGAGCATCCGCATCCAGAGGTAGGAACTGGAGCCAGGAGGAACTGCCACAGCCTCCTCCTGCATCTTTGGGTTCTTTGCTCTGTTCTGTGCAGCAGTATTTGTGTGATGGGCGATTTCCACATGCTCTCACCATGCTCCCAGCCTGGGCTGAGAAGGGAGACATGGGACCCTCACTCAGCCCAGTGCCACTCTGGGGCCACAGCCCACCCAGGCTGTGGAGGCTGGGCTTGTGTTCTTTCTGACAAAACCGTTGGAGTCATGCAAAGTGCCTGGGCCTCCACTTGCAGGATGCTGCCCAGAAACTGCCAGATGCTGCTCTTCTCTGCCACCTTTGAAGACTCAGTGTGGAAGTTTGCCCAGAAGGTGGTCCCAGACCCCAACATCATCAAACTTAAGCGTGAAGAGGAGACTTTGGACACCATCAAACAGTATTATGTCCTTTGCAATAACAGAGAGGAGAAGTTCCAGGCCCTGTGCAACCTGTATGGGGCGATCACCATCGCCCAAGCCATGATCTTCTGCCATGTGAGTAGCTGATGCGCTGCTCTTCCCTGTTTTTTGTAGGTCAATGAATAGGACTATCATTGACAGGCAGTCATCTCCAGTGCTCAGCTGAGGAGGACTATTGCAATGAAGGGAAATGACAATCCACATCCACCTGCCTGGGCAATAGTCTCCTTGGATTTTTGAGTTTATCTTTGATTTGGTTGAGCACACTTAGAGATTCCTTTTAAAAGAAATCCTCCCACCAGGCAGTAGTGGTGCATGCCTTTAGTTCCAGCACTTTGGAGGATCTTTGTGAGTTTGTGGCCAGCCTGGTAAACAAAGTGAGTTCTAGGACAGCCAGAGCTGTTACACATAGAGAAACCCTGTCTCAAAAAAAAAAAAAAAAAAAAAAAAAAAAAGGAAATTCTCCAAATCCCAAAATAATGAGTTGGCAATGTAGCTCAGTTGTGTCATATTTGACTAACATGCATTTATCTAGAATTGATATTCAGTACCACAAAAAACAAAGTAGAACAAAACAAAAAATTGAAGCCCGGTGGTGGTGGTGGTGGTGCTTGTCTTTAACCCCAGCACTCAGGACGCAGGCGATCTCTTAGAGTCCATGGCCAGCCTAGGCTACACAGCTGGTTCCAGGACAGCCAAGGCTACATACACAGAGAAACTCTGTCTCAAAAAAATTAAAAAAAAGAGAGAAATTGTACTGGTAATAACTTTTTTTTTCGGGAGACAAAAATTTCACTATGTTGCCCTAGCTGGCCTTGAACTCAGAGGTCCTTCTGCCTCTGCAAGTGCCAGGATGAAAATCATGTACCACCATGCCTGGTTTATACAATTGTAAAAATGTATCTTATATGTATTTATATGCATGTATCTGTATATACACATATATGTGAGGGTACCTGTGCAAAGCAGGAGAGGCCATCCCCCTGGAGCGGGAGGCACAGGTGGTCCTGGGAACTGAATACTGGTCCTCTGCACAAGAAGCAAGTGTAGTCCACCACTGAATCCTTCTCTCCAGCCCTGGATTTCAGTGCAATTCAGTGGATGACCAATGATGACCCAAGCTTAATTCCCAGAACCCACATGTTGCCTGTTTATACACATACATATAAACATACTAAGTAAATACAATAAAAATTAGTAAACTACTTAGGCTGCCAAGATGACTCAAGGAGTAAAGGTGATTGCTATCAAGCATCACTACCTGAATTTGATTCCCTGGATCTGCCTGCTGGGAAGTGACAACTGAATCCTGAATGTTAGCATTTGACCTCCTCATGTACTCAGTAGCATTTCATGCTCCAATCCTTCCCTCCAATTCAAACACTACATTATTAAAAAAAAAAAAAAAAAAAGGTAGAGTATGGTCAGTCATATACCTTTAAATCCCAGCAGGAGGCAGAGGCAGGCAGATGTCTCTGGCAGATGTTCAAGACCAGCCATTGGATACACAGTGAGAGGCTTTGTCTAATAAATAAATGAGTTGTGCTGTGGTTGTGCATGACTTCAATCCCAGGTCCTGGGAAACAGAGACAGGTGGATCTCTGAGTTGGAGGCCAGCCTGGTCTACAGAGTGAGTTCCAGAACATTTCAGGGCTACACAGAGAAACCTTGCTGCAAAAAACCAATCTAACCAACAAATAAATAATAGTGTGTGTGTGTGTGTGTGTCTATGAACAGCTCTGTGAGGTGGTTAGAGAAGATCTTACATTATGGGTCTTCATCTTCTTCCTTGTCTTTGAGACAGGGTCTCTCCTGTTTGAAGCTGCAGACTATACTCCAGGCCTGTAAGTGTGTGCATTAGACTTTTACATCAGCTTGGATGTGAGCTCAAGTTCTCAGGATCATACTAACATTCCCTTGTACACTGAGTCATTTTCCAGACATGCTTACACTTTTTTACACATTAAGTATATGGACTATTCGGAAACGGAGATAGTTGGTCTTTTGTTTTTTCGAGAAGGGTTTCTTAGTGTAACCCTGGCTGTCCTAAAACTACAGAAACTTACCTGCCTCTGTCTTCCAAGTGCTGGGATCAAAAGCATGCACCACCATGCCTGGCTACAGATAGTTTTACATGAAAAAGTAACAGCAGTTAATTAGTTTATCCAAATTAATTATATGACCAAAATTCCATGCAGGAAAACATTTTAAGCCCTTCCATCCTTTTTTAATCTGGTGCGATCTCTTATGTGGTATGGGTGGTATGTATATGTGCTCATGTGTGCAGGTGCCCTAGGAGACTAGAGAGGCATCAGATTCCTGGTGTTGCAGTTATAGGTGGTTGTGAGCCAGCCACTTGATGTAGGTGCTGGGAACTGAACTCAGGTCCCCTGCAAGAGGATTATGTGCTCTTAATCACTGAAACATCTCTCCAGTCCTAGGCAAAGATTTTTTTAAATGTTTTTATTATTTGAGAATTTCATACATGCATACAATGTATTTTGATCATATTCATACTCCACTGCTCCCTTCCAATTCCCTCCTGACTCCCTCCCACAGATCTCCCTTACAACTTCATGTCCTCTTTTTTTCTTTTATAACCCACGGAGCCCAGTTCACATGTGTCAGGTGATCCAGTGAGTATGGTCAACCTACAGGGGTCATACCCTTAATGAAACAATGACCCTCCCCCTTCAGCAGCCATCACTTACCAGTATTTCCTCGATAAGGATGGTGGCTCACAGATAATTGCTTTAAACATTCTGAACTGTTGCCTGGCTTCATCTTACTTAGATCTTGGTGAGACATTTATAGCTTCTGTGAGTTCATGAGTGCAGTGGTACTGTCATCTCTAGAAGATTCCCTTATTCCAGTTTTGGCCCCCCTCTTGGTCTTGCTGTCTTTCTAAAACCTCTCCATGTGAAAAAGTTTAAACCTGGACAGCCCACTGAATTCAACAGAGCCTCATGTATCATAGAGGCCACAATCCACCTTTCTGTGGGTATCTTTGTCTCTGTTCTTTTACAGGTCACTTCATTAAAAACAATTCTTTTCACTCCAGACCCGCAAAACAGCTAGCTGGCTGGCAGCAGAGCTCTCCAAAGAGGGCCACCAGGTGGCTCTGCTGAGTGGAGAAATGATGGTGGAACAGAGGGCAGCTGTGATTGAGCGCTTCCGGGAAGGCAAAGAGAAGGTCCTGGTAACCACCAACGTGTGTGCCCGTGGTGAGCAGACACTGGCCCGTTCACCAGGCGTGGGGTCCCAGGCCCCGTGAGCAAGAAAAGTGCTTGTATCCGTGGTCCCACGGAGGTGGGGGGGGATTGTAGGGACATTCCTTTGTGGGACAGTAAGAGCCACTTGGAAGAAGCCAGCTTGGTGGGAAGACACTCGGGCTTCCAGACGCTCTAGCTTTCTTACTTCTGCCAGAGTTCTTTCTGTTCTTCTGCCTGAGCTACAGTCCTGTAGGTGTCCTCTTTAGTGCCCACAGCCCAGATGTGACCTGTCCAAGCCACGCCTCCAGTGGAAGTGTGTGTGTTTGACGGTGACCCCTTTGTCTCCTGCCTGCCTCTCCCCAATCCCTTTGTGCAGGTATTGATGTTGAACAAGTGTCTGTCGTCATCAATTTTGACCTTCCTGTGGATAAGGACGGGAACCCAGACAATGAGACCTACCTGCATCGCATCGGGCGCACGGGCCGCTTTGGCAAGAGGGGTCTGGCAGTAAATATGGTTGACAGCAAGCACAGCATGAATATCCTCAACAGAATCCAGGAGCATTTTAGTGAGTCCCCGGAGTTAGCTATGCCTGGAACCCTTTTCGGAGGGGAATGTGGGAGAGGGGAGGTTTCCTCTGGCCCCGCACAGCTGTCTCCACCTGGATGTTGTCAGGGAGAGCGCCTGCACATTCAGGGCTCAGGGACTGGAGTATCAGTGCCCTGGCACCAAGCTAGGAGAACCTGACAGCTTCCCTGGGAGGTCATTCTGAGTGACCAGGGGACCTGTTGCCAGCTGCTCAGGCTCAGGAAGCTTGCTTTGTGCCCATAGCTAGGCCCCCTCCCCAGTCTGTGCTGCTGTTTGTTCTAGATGACTTCCGTTGCATTTCCATGGTAGTCCACGGTGTTCTTCCAATCTGTTTTTCCCTCAGATAAGAAGATAGAAAGATTGGACACAGATGATTTGGATGAGATTGAGAAAATAGCCAACTGAGAAGCTTCACCAGCGACTGGCGCCACCCTCAGCACTGTCCCTGCCTGGGAGCCTCGTGCTTTCATGGCATAGGCCTTGACAGGCACCGCAAAGACCAAGGCCTGAGTAGAGACTACCTACCTCATTCAGAATTACGTTTGGACTTGACAGAAATTTGTGTAAATGATGGGGGATGGTAGAAAATTTGTTTACACAACTTTGGAAGATTAGGCATGAATACACAGAAATTTACCTTTTAGAAGTTCCGCCTTTTTTTTTTTTTTTTTTTTTTTTTTTGGCCAGTATTTCTTCATCGTTACTTAGTCTAGATAATATGCCCAAGATTCCTTATGACACACCTTAGCTCAGAGCATGCAGACCAGCCATGTGGAAGTGACCACACAGGAGAAAAGATGGTTCACAAAGGCAGAGTCCCCAAGTAGCATAGGATGTTAGCCAGTCCTGGTTTCATGAGGACGTCATGAGGAGCTGGCTGACCTGTGAGCTGCTGCTTAGGACTTGGTGTGCCATGAGTAAGCTGAGTTACCAGAGCACTACTAACTCATTCCAGGAAGAAATTTACGGTGTTGGACCAAAATGCCTTTGGGGCCTTTTTATTCAGGTTTGTGCCTCAGGAACATGACCTGTTCTTTTCTGCAGGTAGCAATCTGTGTGCAGTACAAATCTGGTTATTGGTTGGTTCTGAGCTCATACTTTTGCAAGACCAGTGGAAAAGTCATCACGAAAAACCGTGTCATGGGTTACTTGCACCATCGTTTTTTACATCTGTAACATCACCTTAACCCTTACCAGTGCCAGCCAAATAAAAGGGTGCCTGAGATTTAGATACTCAGTGAATAGTGTAGCTTCAAGTTTGTGATGGGCAGCCTGAATCTGAGCAGGTGTAGATATGGTCAGCAGTTGTCAAAAGTCTTGCTTTGCATGCAATTCCAAAAGGGAGTTCTGTCAGAGCTCAGGATGCTTACAGATATGGGCATCTTAACTCTAAAGGGAGTTCGTCAGAGATAGGGATGGTTATAGACATGGGCATCTTAACTCTAAAGGGATTCTGATCGTCTGTGTTTACAGTGCCTGGAATGAATACAAAGGAGTGTGATGAGGGACAAGATGGACCACAGCCATTTATCTGTCCAAGACAAGAATAATCGCCAAGTATTTGCTCCTTTCTTACTTGGCCCCTGTGAGTAGAGTAGTAAATGCAAACAGTAGGAATGGAGAATTCCTCACATCTGGCTAGGCCATAGGTGCCCTCAAAGTGACAACAGATACGAAAGGAGCCAGAAGGCATCTTCTTTCGTTCTTTGACTTGGACGTAGAGTGATTCCTCTTCCTAGGATTTTTTTATGTGTTGTGTTGGAACTCAAATCCAGAGCCTTACATATGCTAGGTAAGCACTTTACACCAAAATATGGTTATCCCCAGCCATGAAAGAGGCATTTTCTATGCTCCTGTATCTTAAAGCCCGCTCCATCACCTGGGTGTTTGACTGAGTAGAACTCTTTTTATGCTCCTGGCCAACTTTGATCTATCTTAGAAGTCTTAAAAGGAGAGAAGAAATTTTTTGTTTTCCTAAAATCCTGTGAACCAAACCTGAAATAACTAAAAACAAGGACTATACTTGAAGAAGTATTTAGACTCTTTCTAAGTATGAAGAGGAGGATGGGAAAGTTGTGCAGCAGACTCTCCAGTGGCTTCTGGTGGAAGTGTAGCTCAGCCACTCTTAACTTAGTGTCTTGGACCTCTGAGAATTCACTGGCTGGGGTCATGATGTCTGAAGTATATGCATTAGTTTGAGTTTAAATAATTTCTTGGGAGGACTCAAAGGATTACACACATTTTAAAAAGGTAAGACCACAATTGTGGAAGATTCTGCAATGACACTAATTTCACTGTGGGCCATATTCCTTCACAGTCCACACTCATTCCTGCCACCGCCTGTCCCCCAGGGCCAGCTTAGTGCTGTCAGGAGTCTAAGAATTTATTGAGCTAAACCTTGGGCCCAGGGATTCTTTGGCTGATTTCAATGTATCTATGAAATGATAAACTGAACCCTAGAACAAAGAAACTCAGGGAAAGAAGAGAAGCTCAGGGAAAGAAATGTCTTTGTCTAATGAAAAGTTTTGTGATGTTCATTATCCACAAACAGTAGGTTTTATTGTTTTTGGTTTTGCTTCAAACTCCAAATTCCTGCCTCAGCTTCCTGAGTGCTAGAATTACACCATCATGCCACACTGAGGTGTTCTATTCTGAGTTTCATTTATTGGTTATATACATAAGATCTAATCAATTGTTGAGACATAGACTTTTGTTTGTTTTTTGAGGCAGGGTTTCTCTATAGCCCTGGATATCCTGGAACTAGCTCTATAACAGGCCAGGCTGGCTTCAAATTTGGCCTCTGCCTCCCAAATTCTGGGATTAAAGGTGAGATATAATCTTTACTGGTGTTAATTATGAAATGTTCTTGTTACTAAGACTTTAATGATTATAATAAGGAAATAGCATCTTGTGGTTGTTGGTATTGAGTGAAGTCACGTGTTTGCCTTAGGTTAATTACTACCTAGTTAATCTGTTTCAATTGGTACTGTTCTAACATGAGTTTCCAGGAAATCTCCATTGACCCAGGATTCAGCTCACTTACCAGAGGGACATAAACACATACATACTTCCTAACCCACTGCAGAAATCAGGATTCAGGCAAACTAGCTGGATAAAGGTCATTGTTGGTAAATTCAGTTTGTAGATCCATCTGGGGGTAGGGGGTGGGAAAGGACATAAATAAGGCAATAGGGCTACAGACCAAGAGTGATGGTCCACACCCGTCAGTCCCAACATTAGCAAGAGTGGTGTTGTATATGAGAATGCAGTCTTGTGACAAAAGGAATCCAGCCCGGGGCTTGTAATCCCATTGTTTAGGAAGTGATATGAAGATCAGGGGTCCAGGGCCATGTTTAGCTACAAAGAGAATTCGAGGCCATCCTGATCTACAGGAGACCCTGTCAAAGATAGCAAAAGATTAGAATAAGAAATACTAGGTATAGTGGTGCATGTCTATAATCAGCACTCAGAAGGCTGAGGAGAATTGCTGAGTTCAAGGTCAGCTTGGTTACATAGATATAGGCCAGCCTTAGCAATATTTATACATTTTGACTCCAAAGTCAATTGACAAGGCTAAAAGAGATACACTAGGAAGACAGTTCAACCTGGACGTGTGTGGGAGAGGAAAGTCAAGGTTCACAGAATAAGACTGTTTTTGTTGTGATTGTGAGGGCCTCACTATTTAACACAGGCTCACCTGGAAATCAAAGCAATTCTGCCTCTGCATCCTGAGCGCTGGGATTCAAGGCAGGACTACCAAGACCCAGTGATTAGATTTTGACTGTCATAGTCTACTATGCTGCTGTGACAGAATAGCCAGGGTTGGGTAGTCTGAAAAACAGGTGTGACCAGCAGGTCTGGAGGCTGAGGAGTCAAAATCAAGGCTAGCAGTACATTCAGAAATTCTTAAATCGCAGATATAAGGCAATTGAACTGTTTCCTTCACCCATACCACCCCAGTTAATGAAGATTTAAGGGACCCTCATCAAGTTCCTCTTGGTCCTCATTAGGGACACCAGGTTCTTGGGAACCCCTTGCAATTTTACATGAATTTGTTTTTCTGCCTGAGAATAAATATTCTGTATTCTGTTGACCAGATGTTGCAGTGTCTTACATAAAGGATCCTGGGGGCATGAGATTAACCCAACTAATACTCTGCCTTTTTTTTTTTTTTTCTTATCAGCTGAAATAGGGCATCCTCTATAGCTTTGAACGCTTTGAAAACTTAGTGTGAAGACAAAGACATATGAGGGTAGCACATGCTTTTCTTGGCCTCCAGACTGCAGTGGCTTTAGAATCCAGGTGGCCAGGGAGCTGGCTTCTCTGTAGTAGCTTCAGTTACTAAATGGGGAATTAGAATAGAAGATGGGGGAAAGGTGATGCAGGACAAGCTGGGTTTGGTGGCATACATCCTAACACTTGGAGGGGCTGATGATTGAAAGTTTGAGTACTGTTATGGGGCTACATAGATTATGTCTCAGCAAAATAAAAGGTGAGGTAAAGCTTGACAGAGACACCTGATATGTCTGCTATCCAAATGGGACAGTCCCCCTCTGCCTTAGCTATAGCTGATGGACACGAGGGTCAGGAGTGAGAGTGCAGACCTCCGTGCCCTTTTAGCCAAGGTAAGAGAGCTTTCCCCAGAAGACAGCTCTAGTTTTCAGTCTTTACTAATCTCTTACATTCTCATCAGTCCTTTCAGCATCCCCCCCCCCCTCTTGAATTTAATTATCCCTGAGGGCAAACCTCTCCTGTTTACAACTCAGGTTAAATAGTGGTTGTGCATCCTTTAATCCCAGGAGGTAGAGACAGGCAGATTTCTGTGAATTCGAGGCCAGCCTGGTCTATAGAGGGAGTGCTCTATAGAGAAATGCTCACAGAGAAAGAAAGGGAGTGAAGGAGGGAGGGAGGGAGGGAGAGAAGGACGAAGAGAGCAACTCAAGTTATGTGGCCAAATGAGCCTGGTGTGTGTGTGTGTGTGTGGTGTGTGTGTGTGTGTGTGTGTGTGCTGTTCATTTTGCTATCTGACAGCAGTAGCTGTTAAATATTTATAGAAATTATCAAGATCTGGGTATTGGGATAACTCAGTGAGTTCATCCCAGAAAACCTGCCTGAGGGAGTTGTCCTTAGACCTCATTATGGGGCAGTGGTGCATATCCACACACAAAGTTTAATTTTTAAGATTTGCTCACCATTTTAAATAAATATATATATATTTTTAAAAAAGTGTGTGTGTGGTTTGTCTGCATTCTAACCCTAACCCTAAACCTAGCCAGCAGAGGGCATCCAATCCCTGGAACTCTCCTTGCAGCCTAGTTCCTCTGAAAGAGTATGTGCTTTTAACAACTGAACCATTTCTTCATACGCTATTTTGTTGAGACAAGATCAGGCCTTTCTAGTGTTTGCATTTAATGCATTGACCTCCAGTAGTAATCCCTCTGTAGCTCTGCTCCCCACAGCTCTCCTGAAAGTGTCCTTTGCCTAGGATACTGATAGCCTGTGCAAGCCTACTCTGAAACATACTTTCTATTCTTGATTTCTGAGCAGTATTCAACAATACTTCCTATAAGAATTAGAGCCATTTTAGTGTTACCACTGGGACTCAGCCACTTTTTTGTCTTTTCCTGACCGTGTCTCAGGCTCTTTGATGCTTTTATTCACTTCTTCATGCCTTAATTCTTGGTCATTTCCTCTTTGCCACAGGCAACTTTCTTCAATCCTATGGGCTCTATCTGCTGAAATCCCCCACTCCCAAACCTATCCCAAGACTTGATAGTTGAATTCTAGGGTAGGAGAAACCACTGTGCTTATACTGGGATGTTTTCTAGTTCTGTTATTATGAACAGCATTGAGCCCAGCAAACACCACCAACCTAAACCCCGAACCCTGCTCTGAGTTCCTCCTCCAACTTGACCTCACAAGATGGCATCACAGTTACCTATTGTTCAAGTTAGAAACCTGGAATTCAACATGAATCTTGCTTCCTGCCCCTGAGTCAATAAAATACCAAGTCCTTTGGATCAGTTGTCCATTGCTGTGTCACAAGTCTTGGCTTCTCAGATATGGCAATTCATGGCTTTAATCCTAGTTTTCAGTAGGCAGACATAGGTGGATTTCTATGTTCCAAGCCAACCAGAGTTACAAGCCTTAGCTGTACTTGGTAGCAGAAGCCTGTAATCTCAACAGTCATTAGGGTTGAGGCACTGGATCTCTTTTTTTTCCTGTCTCAGTGGTTAAAAAAAAAAAAAAAAAGTGTGCTCCATTTCTGTCTTGATCTCCCATAATGCCCTATACTTCCCTTATTGCCACAATGTTAAGCAATCTTCCAAAGCCAATTAACTTGCCCATTTTCCACAACAAATGGCTTATGATTACTGTTTTACAGCTACAAGAATGAGAAGAGAGAGGCTGGGTAAATTGCCCTACAACACTCTAATAGGAAGAGGCAAATCCGTATTAACCCTAGACTTTCTGGTACGAGGCTCCTCACTCTTGACACTACTTCCTATTTGCCTCCTGCCCTTTGAGGACTGCTTCTTTAGATATCTTCCCTTGTATTCTAGTACAGTAAGGGTAGGGAAGTATTTGTTTGTTTTCTAGACAGGGTTTCTCTGTATTGCTTTGGAGCCTGTCCTGACACTGGCTCTGTAGACCAGGCTAGACTCCAACTCAGAGATCCACCTGCCTCTGCCTCCTGAGAGCTAGGACTAAAAGTGTGTGCCACCAACGCCCAGCTGGGAGTTATATCTTTACTATTGAATTCTGAGATAACAAGCAACACCAGGGATTGCAAAATGTGCCTTATTAATATGTCTTTGAATGTTTTACATATCCTCAAGAAAATGCTTCACAATCATTTTTTTCATACAGTAAATCTTAGCGCTCGGAATCAAATCCAAGCATCCCTTAGGCTGAGCAAGTGCTCTAAAATGATTGAGCTACACCTCCAACCAACCAACCATACATACATACATATGTATGTATAAATAAATATAGATATGTATGAATAAATATAGATAGATAAGCCTTTTTATGTGTCCTTCACTGCCCTGGAACTATGTAGACCAGGATGGCCTAAAACTCAGAGGTCTGCCTGCCTGTGCCTCTCAAGTGCTGGGATTAACACAATATGCCAGTATCCCTGGCTTCATTTTTTGTAATAAAAATGTAACATCTTTTCACTTTTGTGAACTAAATAGTTATTTTAGCACCTAATATTTTCTCCCCTTTCTGAATTTTTTTTTTTTTTTTTTTTTTTTTTTTTTGCAATTTGTCACCCCTTCCTGTCTTGTTGCTTATTATATGTAGAGGATCTGACGTCTACTTGTTTTTTGAGAAAGGGTTTCTCTGTGCAGTCCTGGCTGTCCTGGAACTCTCTCTGTAGACCAGGCTGGCCTCGAATTCAGAGATCCAACTGCTTGTGCAATTAAAGGCCTGCGCCACCACCGACATTTTTTTTTTAATTATGTGTATGCATGTATATGTCTGTGACCGAAAAGGCTAGTAGAAGGCGTCGGATCCCTTGTTACCTTGGCATTTGAGAAGGAAGAAACCAAGTGCAAGGCAACTAAATGCAAGAAACCTTGTTTCAAAACCATACTGAAAACTACTTTAGCCTGAAGCGAAGGGTTGTAGAGAGTACTAAGTTACTCTTTGCAGAGCTCTTGGGCATATCTCAAAATCAGACTAGACCTAGTGAATTAGGATCTTAAAACACTGAGCACCGTTTACAGTCCTGGGGGCGGAGCGCGGGTGGGCGATGACCAAGCGGGACAGGAACTGACGTCAACTCCGCGCACATCTCCTTCCGCTCCGCGTGAGTGGCGCTTGGCGAGGGCTGGTACTTAACGCTGGCGTTGGCGGGGTGCGGAGCCTCTGAAGATCCCGCTCGTCTTGGGGACCATGGCCACCGACTCCTGGGCGTTGGCGGTGGATGAGCAGGAAGCCGCTGTCAAGTCGGTGAGTGGCCTGGCGGGGATGGGGGACTCAGGCGGACGCTGTTTCCAGCACGGGGACCTCCGAGACGGGTCGGCCTGCTGCTGGCAATCACTTAGTGCTGATTTGCTTCTAGAGCGAAGAAAAACCGCAGCGAGCTTCTTATCCGAGTTTGGACTGAAAAGTTTTCCCGTGGTGACTCTGTTCTCACTATGTGTGCGAGGCCCCAAATTGGCTCTGTCGCTTGACCTTTTATGACTAGTGACCACATAAAATTCTCTTTTTCATTGTTAAGGGACAGTTTTTGGGTGCATTTATGGTGCTTTTCACCCAACTTCTTACATTCATCCTTAATGTGGTTGGCAGTTTGTAGCTCTCTAGAATAACTTTTCTCTCTCTCTGTTTTGTTTTTGTTTTTGTTTTTTGCTTTGCAAAGCTTTAATGCTTCACATAGCTACAAATACAAACTGTTTAGTTAATATTTTAGTGACATTTAGTTTCATTTTTTAGGCTTTGTGTGTGTGTGTGGGGCGGCGGCGGCGGTGGTGTGTTTGAGACAGGGTTTCCTTTAGTCTGGGTTGACTTGCTGGGTAGCTGAGGCTGACCTTAACTACTCTTCATGTCCTTAAGTGCTGGAGTTACAGGCTTGCTGCCTTTGTTTTGTTTTTGAGACAGAGGAGATGGCCTGCAGGTCACTGTTTAGCTCAAATACTTTCTTTTAACATCTGCTTATGTTTGACTTGTGTTTATCTGTGCACTCCTTTTGTGCCTACATATGTTAGAAGAGGGCGTTGGATCCCAGGGAACTGGAGATAGAAACTGACATGAGCCTCACTGTGAATGCTGAGAACCAAACCCTAGCTCTTACAAGAGCAGGAAGCTGTCTTAACCACTGAACCATCACTGTAGCTCCAGTATTTATTTTTTAAGCCATTAATTGTATTTTGTGTCCATATGTGTTTTGAGTGTGAATGTATCATGATGTGTGTGGAGGTCAGAAGACAACTTGTGAGGATAGGTTCTCATCCTACAGTGTGGTCCCAGGGATGGATCATCAGACTTGATGACATGCAATTATCCACTGAGCTATCTTTTGAGCTCCAGTCTGAAGTTTGAAATCTAATGTTTAATATGAGATTATCTCTAAAAGATAGTGACTGGGAATTGTTTTCAATTTAATTATGTGTGTTTGAGAAGGAGATCTCACTTTGTCCAGTCTGGCCACTAATCCTTCTGCCCTAACTGGAATTCCAGGAGGGTACCACCATACACACATTTCTCATTTTTTAAAATATACTGTTCAAAGCTGGGGACTTAGTTTTGTAAGTTACACTTGCCTAGCCTGAACAAGGCTCCAGGTAGACAACCTGCACTGCAGGAGTAAAAAAGTATGTCCTTAATCTCATTATGATATGAATGTCTCCAATACTACCAAAGCAAACTTGATATTTGACCTAACCATTCCACTTATCAGAAGGCTGATGCCGCTTGAGATATGCTTCACCACCACCTCCCCAACACATATGCACCTTTCACCACATAGACATTTCCCATCCACAGAGGCAAGATTAATCATCAGAGGTTGTGTGTGGAGGTGAATCCAAAACAAAGGACGATGGGCACTTGATTGGCTGACCTTTCCCATTTGTGGTTACTGTTCACTTTCAAGACAGCCATGTTTGTCTACTAGCAAGCAGTTCTTCCTTGAATGCAGCTGACAAATTTCTTGCTTTCAACATCCTTTAGCCCTTCGGAGAAAGCTGTGTGTTACATTTATTCTTCACAACAAATCATGGTTTAATGGTCTTAGTTTTCTTTTTCACTCTATTAATGTGGTTGAACTCAAGATGGTCATAATCAAATTTTTAGAACGTCCCAGTATATATTTATGTTGATCACTGCATACATCGTGAAAATAGGGATTAACCAACCAATAATAACTTGCTGTGAGATGCCTCTCCCGTGTATGTTGGGCTTTCTCTGGACTTTTCCCCATTAAAGGAGAAAGTGTGGTCACCTGGCTTTTTCTCTAGGAAACCTGGTTCCCGAAGAGAGCAGATGAAAACTCTTAACTTTTGTGGCGATCTGAATAAGTCTCCCATAGACTTAGAAATTTTAACTCTTGGTCTCCAGTTGGTGCTGCTGTTTGGGGAGGTATAGGAGGTATGTCACTCACTGGAGGCAGGCCTTGTGGGGAAAAAATAAAAGCCCCATTTCAAATTCAGTTCAACAGGAAAGCACTCAGCTTCTAGCTCCAGTCACCATGCCTCTCCTTTTCCATCGTGGACTCTTACCCTAGAATAACTCTGTAGAACCACAAGCCCAAGTCAACTCTTCTGTAAGTTGTCCTGATTGTGTTGTTTTATCATAGCTATAGAAAGGTAAGTAATGCACATGTGAGCAGATCTTTTCTCAAAGGCCTCGTAGTGTCAGTTGGAGAGGGCAACTTGGAAAGGACATGGTTTAAGAAGGATGGACCCACGGTCCTTTATGGTGGAAGGCACAGTGCTAGGAGTCACAGGGATCCTTAAGGGAGAGAGAGGTGAATGTTGCTGCTTCACTCAACTTCTCATTCAGTCCTGGATCCTAATGCAGGATTGGTGCTGCCCACATCCTGTGTAGTGTTGGTCTTCCTCCCTCAAGTATACTCCTCAGGGGTTGTCTTCTATCGAGTTGACAGTCGAGATTACGGTCTTACTATCTTCAGATCACACTCTTAGCAGCTTGAGAACATAAGAAATGTTTGTGAGGTACTGGAATGATGGCTTAGTGGTTAAAAGCACTGATTGCTTTTCCAGAGAACCCGGTAGAGTTCCCAGCATCCACGTAACAGCTCATTCCTGTCTGTAACTCCAGTTCTGGGGCTTCTGACAGCGTCACACAGACTTACACACAGGCAAAACACCAATGCACATAAAATAAATTTTTGAAAATGTTTGTGAAAGTGGAGACTTGATTGCAAATTTATTAATTACTACTCTGATTATACTTTCTATCATAAATTATTAATCTAATTTCTGTTGATGGAGACCTTGTAGCCAACAGTAAATTTTTTTTTAAATCTTTTATTGAAGTTCTAGAATTTTCATTGTAATATTTTTTTGTTGTTTGTTTTTGGTTTTCCAAGACAGGGTTTTTCTGTATTGCTTTGGAGCCTGTTCTGGAACTAGCTCTGTAGACCAGGCTGGCCTCAAACTCACAGAGATTTGTCTGCCTCTGCCTTCTAAGTACCAGGATTAAAGTCGCGCATCACCAACGCCCGGCTTGTTTTGTTTTTTTAAAGGCAAAGTTTCATGTGGTACAAGCTGGCTTCTAACTCGTGATCTTCAACTTCATTCTTCCTGCCTCTATCCCCCAAGTGTGTTTTCACTGCACCCAGTTTATTGTATTGCATTTTAAAGTAACATACCATGCCTGATCTTCCAGAGGTCCTGAGTTCCAGTTCCAGTTCCCAGCAACCACATGGTGGCTCACAATGATCTTGTGCCTGGTGCCCTCTTTTGAACTGTAGGCATACATGCAGGCAGAAGACTATATACATAATAATAAATAGATCTTAAACAAAAATAAAGGACACAAGTCCTGTGCCCTGGGTTTACCCTAGCATCACCCAAACCAAAACAAACAAAAACTTGCAAATATTCTAGAGAGTGTAAGTTTCAAGTTGTCTGTGTGTCGGTCCTGTAGCCCCCTACCCTCCATCCCCTGGCGCTTCTTATACCATCATGTTTAACCCATGCCCACCTCCTCTTTGTGCTCCTGAGGAAATATGAGGTGCTTTTGCACAGCTCTGCAGCAGTTCTGCTACGCTTTTCACCATGCAGCCCACTCCCTTTCTTGGTCGGGTCTTTTGCTTACTGTTTCCTTTTATTCTTACTCAGATGAGCAGTTTGCAGATCAAAGAAGAAAAAGTCAAAGCAGACACCAATGGTGAGTTGTGGATAACTACAGACTAGGTACCAGAGTTACACTTGTGCTTGGGCCACAGCCCACAGGTGCAGTAAGCCCTGGAACTGTCCTAGAGTCATTCAACAGATTTTGCCCTGCGCTGGAGCCCAAATTAGGAATTAGGGTACATTTCTGAAGAGGGAATGTTTTCCAGGTTTTTCTAGCTTCTGATACCTTAAAAACAAAGTCATGGTGGGGTGGTATTGGTGTATGCCTTTAATCCCAGCATTTGGGAGGCAGAGGCAGGGGAATCTCTGAGTTCAAAGCCAGCCTGGTCTGCAGAGCTAGTTCCAGGACAGCCAGGACTAACACAGAGAAACCTTGTCTCTTAAAAAAACCCAAAGCACACACACAGTCACTATTGGATTGCTTGATGTCTAAATCTTTTGAAATATGATTAGGTTCAAGCCAGTTAAGGTGGCTTCCATCTGTGATGCCAATGGTCAGGAGGATTATTGAAGTTTTTTTAGACCACTACCCCTGCCCCTCCCCAGGGCTATATAGCAAAACTCTGTCTCAGAAACAAATTAAAAAACAACAAAACTCAGAAAGTATGAAAAGGTACAAGGCTTCCTGTTTCCATACTGCTCCAGTATTAATTGTTCCTGTGCCTACCTGTGTTCTTTTGCTGGGGCACCTTTAACAAAGCACCTCAAAGGTGGATAGTTAAAACCATAATAGCTGCCAGGTGTGGTGGTGTAAGCCTTTACTCCCAGAAGAGGCAGAGGGGGGTGGGTTTCTGAATTAGAGGCCAGCCAGAGCTACAAAGTGAGACCCTTTCTCAAATAAAACAGAACCATCCCACAGTAGCTTATTGTCTCAGAGATCAGGAGATTAGATCAAGGTGTCAGCAAAGTTTGTTGCTTTTGAGGGCTTGTAGAAAGATCTTATTCCAAGCCTTTGCTGGCAGTTTTTGGCGTTCCTTTGGTTTGATTTTACCCAGATCTCACATGGTGCTCTCCTAAATAGCCTTTCTTTCTTTATTGATTAATTGATTGACTGGGTGATTGGAAATGCTGGGGATCAAACTTAGAGTCTTACATATTTAAGGAAGTATTCTGTACTCCTCAGTCTTAGGCTTCCCATTTTTAATATGGCTCCAGTAATATTGTAGTTGGGTTCCTTTCTGAGGTACTGGGGATTGGGACAGGGTAAATGAATTTTAGGAATACTGAGTTAAATTCCTAACACATAAGTAACTACTGTTTGTGACATTTTACTTTAGTTTCATTTTGTTTAAATGTTTAGATCTATTCATTATTATTTTTGATGGCAAGATCTTGCTGTGTCACTGAGCCTAGACTTGAACTCATAGACTTCCTCCTGCCTCAGCTCCCAAGTACCAAGATTACAGATTTGTGTTACTATTCCTGGCATTGAATTTTTAATATTATTCCAGGGTTTTTGTTTTTTTTTTTTAATATAAGGCAAATAGAAATAGGGATTCATATTTTCATTGTGTCTGTTTTCTGGTTCCTCTCTCCCTATCACTCCCTACCTCTGAGAGGTGACAAGATAATGCACAGTATACTTGATTTTTTTTCCATTCAACGATATTGCTTTGCATGCTCTTCATATTGCCCAGCATTGCATTATGTTGATATGTCATTAATCAGTTATCTAGGATTTGTCTCAGTTTGATACTATTATAAACAGCATGTCTTAGAATAACCATGAGCTTCAATACTTTATGTTGTGCAATGTGTTTCTGCAATAATTTACCCTGAATAAATTTACTAGGTCAAGAGTATAAGAGTATAAGTCTTTGAGAAAAAAATTGTGATGTGCTGGCCAGATGGCTCAGTGGTTAAGACTTCTCATTGCTCTTGCAGAAACTCAGTTCTATTCTCAGCACCCACATCAGATGGCTCACAATGTCCTATAAGTACTCCCTTTTCTGGCCTCTGAGGACATCTGTACTCATGTGCATAGACATACAATTACAACGAAATTTGTCTATACTAAATTTTATACCCGGGCAGTGATGGCATAAACCTTTAAGTCCCAGCACTCGGGAGGCAGAGGGGTGCATCTCTGTTAGTTCAAGGCCAGCCTGGTCTACAGAGCAAGTTCCAGGACAGGATCCAGAGCAACAGAGAAACCCTGTCTCAGATAGATAAACAGATAGATAGGTAGGTAGGTAGGTAGGTAGAAAGAAAGAAGAAAAAGAAAGAACTTTTATTGTGCTTTGTGTGTTTGAGTGAATGTGATGTGTATCATGGTGTGCATTTAGAAGTCAGAGGACAACTAAAGGAGTTGTTTATGTCTACCAGGTGTGACCTGGAGATTGAACTCAGGTCTTCAGGTTTGGCAGCAAATGAATTTCTGTGTGTCACAGGCTTGCCTTGTAGACTAGGCTGGCCTTGAATTCACAGATACCTGCTTGCCCCTGCTTCTCAAGTGCTGGTATTAAAGGCATGGGCCTTTTAAGCCACCTGGCTTAAAAATATTTTCCAAGTTGGGTGAGGATCTAGCTTAGATGGTAGGCTGCTAGATAGCATGCAGGAACATGGGTCTAATCCTTACTCTTATTATTATATAATCAGGCATGCTGCTGCATCTTTATAATCTAAGCAATTGGAAGTAGAAGCAGGAGGACCGCAAATTCAGAATCATTTTCATTCTCTGCTATGTAACAAACTCTAGGCCAGCCTGAACCACACGAGACCCTGTCTTAACAAAACATAAAAATCCTCTCTAAGATTGTTTAGTGTTTTGGGACAGGGGCTCAATATATAGACTTGACTAATGTGGAATTTATATATAGACCAGGGTAGCCTCAAATTCATGGGTGAGCTTGCTTCTGCTTCCCCTGTCCTGGGATTACAGGCATTCACCATCATGCAAGGAAGTATTCTATACAAATTTATATTCCTATCAAAAGAGACTGAAAGTTTGTTACCCTATATTCTCATCTCAAAATGCTTAGTAAGACTTGAGTTTTTCTAGTCTTATAAGAGTCTTATAGGTAAAAAATAGGGAATAGAATTTGCTATGTAATGCTGTGTTTTGTTTTTGTTTTTGTTTTTTGATAACTAAGTCAGAAACCAAATATTTTTGTGAGTCTTAAGTTCAAATTTAAGTTTTTTCTTAAGTTTTTACATGCTTTGTAAACATAAAATCCATTAAACATTAAAAAAAAAAGGTAGTTTTTAAAATTTGTTCACTTTAGTAAGTATTAAGTGTAGGGTAGGTGGGTTTAGTGTTTGCCTTTCTGATGACAACTGTTTTCTTATGTAGGTGTTATCAAAACCAGCACCACTATGGAGAAGACTGATGAAGAAGAGAAAGGTAACTGTTCTTTGAAGTACTCTTGTGAGAAACTTGGTATAACGAGAGCTTACCTAACTGAAGCTAGAGACAGAGTTATAAGACAGGGAAATGTGGGAGAAATCAAAAGTAGTTTTTCACCCACCTCCCAAATAATCACATGGAGACTTTCTATTTCTTATGATTGTCAGACCTTAGCTTGGCGTATTTCTAGCCAGCTCTTAAATTATATGGTCTACCTTTTGTCTGGGCTCTTACCTTTCTCTAGTTCTGTGTATCTTTTTTCCTCCTTATTCCATGTGTGGCTGGGTGGCTGCCCCTGGCATCCTCTTCTCATTTTCTCACTCCTCCCTCTTTTCTTTTTCTCCTTCTGCTTATTCTCTCTGCCTGCCAGCCCTGCCTGTCCCTCTCCTGCCTAGCTGTTGGCCATTCAGCTCTTTATTAGACCAATCAGGTGTTGTAGACAGGCAAAGTAACACAGCAACATAAAAGAATGCAATGCATTTGCATCATTAAATTAATTGCTCCACAGCATAAACAAATGTAATGCATGTTCAACTAATATTCCACAAAAGTGTGCTGAACTTGAAGCCAAAGAAAATGTCTTCAACAGTGGTATGGTGTGTCAGATTTGGAAAGATGATTCATTCAATAAAGTGGCCTGCCCCCCCCCCCATAAAGTCATGACCTGGGTTTGGCCCCCAGTTTGTACCACATGAAAACCACGAGCAGTAGCATTTATCTGTAAGCCTAGCTCTGGTGGCTGGAGGGAGGAGAGGGTGGTATGACAACAGGGGAATCCTGAGCTTTCAGACCAGCCATTCTAAAAAATTGATAAGCTGAAGGCTCATTGAGAAACCCCATTTCAAAAAAAAATGAGTGACAGCATTTGAGGAAGATGTATGATCTCATACTAATGTACACACATACTCGTGCACACCTTGGTACTCATAGAAACACATACATTACACACACAAACACAAAAGCAAAAAGGTGTGTGTGTCAGACTGGACAAGAACTTCAAAGGCAGAACACTTGCCTTGTGTGTACTAGATTCTGAATTCTGTCCCCAACACTGGAGAAACAAAAACAAAAAGGTGTCACTGTAAGTGACATGATTTAGAAGCATCATATGCTTGGTCTTAGCTATTTGGAAGGCTAAGGAAAATGAGATTTAAAACAAAACAAAAAATAGCTTATTCATTGCAAGGGCGGGAATCCCAGAACTCAGGATTCTGTGACAGAAAGATGCTCCGAGATCATGTGAGACAAAATCTAATAAATAAAAAATGTAAAGGGGGTGGAATTGGGCTTTTCTCCAGCTGTGAATGCTTGTAAAAGTATGGTGCAGAAATAGGGAGAGTTTTTTTCCTCCAGGGCGGGCCTAGCTTTATGTGGATGAAGAAAATCTGCTTTCTTCCTGACAGAGGACAGAGCTGCTCAGTCTTTACTCAACAAGCTCATCAGAAGCAATCTTGTGGATAATACCAACCAAGTAGAAGTCCTGCAGAGGGACCCAAACTCCCCTCTCTACTCAGTGAAGTCTTTTGAAGAGCTTCGCCTGTGAGTATCCATGGTTGGAACAGCTGTTACCCAGTCCCACTGAAAAACATCTCTAAACTGGACATGATGGTGCACACCTTTAATCCCAGCATTCAGTAGGCAGAGGTGGGTTGATCTCTCTGAGTTCAGTCTAGCCAGAATTAGGTAGAGAGATCCTGTCTCAAAAACAACAACAACTACTAAAAGCCAGAGGTGGTGGTACATGCCTTTGGGAGGCAGAGGCAGGCCTGGTCTTCAGGGTAAATTCCAGGACAGCCAGGCTACATTCTCTGGACTTTAACTTTGGCTTTTAAAAAAAAAAGGTTTTTGTTTTGTTTTAAATCATATTTATGTAGGTAATCTACACAATTTTCCAGGTAGTTGTGGCTCATGCCTTTAATCACAGCACTCAGGAAGCAGAGGCAAGTAGATCTCTGAGTTCCAGAACAGCCAGGACTACCCAGAAAAATCCTTGTCTGGAAAAAAAAAAATCACAAACAAATAAATCTACATGATTCAAACATTAGTGTGGGAGGGTCGAGGGTTGTGATAGAATAAGTATCTGCTTAGCAAATATGAAGTCGTGTGTTTGATCCCTAGCACTGCGCAAGCAGGCAATAGATAGTACACCTGTAATCTCAGCATTTGGGAGATTGTGCAGGCCGGAGGATCTTTTTAAAAACTCAGGGCCATTCTAGACTATACAGCAAGTTTGAGGCCAGCCTAGGACAGATGAAACTACAGTGATGGTCTTCTACACTCTTTTTCTTCCAGTACAACTCTCCCCCCTCCCCCCTTTGGATTCTAAATCTCGGTGGCCTGGTTGTGATACAGACCCATGACCTAGCTGTTTTGAAGTAAGAGATTCAGATGTTCAGGATCTGCCTGGGTTATAGCATGCATGTGGGATCTCACTATGTTGCCCTTGCAAACCTTGGATGCTCCCACCTGAGCCTCATGGGTAACTAGGACTATAGGTGTGTGCCACAGTACATGATTTTCTTAGTAGAAACTGAAATGCTACAGATTTATTCATCATAGCTGAAAATCTTTTTTTTTTTTTTTCTTTTATACTCTTAGAACTTTGAATAAAATATTGGCTGACAGGTGATTTCTGGATGTCAGAAACATATCTTATTAGGTAAGCCCTTTGGAAGTCTATAGGCTTTACAAACATTAGCCTGGTTTTAGAAACTGTCTGAAGAGCCTGGATTCCTGACACCTAAAATACATTAAAACCTTTGATAGGCCAGCTTTGAGGGAAGGAACCCCCTAAAATGTACTTAATACCTCTCAGAAGGGGTTTTCTGCCTTTTGTTATGGGTTTTGTTTTTTTTTTTTTTTAAAGATTTATTTATTTTTATTTTATGTGTGTGGGTGTTTTGCCTGCATGTTTGTCTGTGTACCATGTGCATGCAGTGCCTGCACACTAGAAGAGGGCATCAGATCCCCTGGAACTGCAGTTACAGACTGTTGTTAGCTGCTTTGTGGGTGCTGAGAATCAAACCCAGATCCTCTGAAAGACCTGCAATTGCTCTTAACCACTGAGCCATCTCTCCAGCCCTGGGGTTTTCTGTTTTTAATTACTTGACACAAGAGTGAGCTGTACAGCACTGTGTCTATCGTCAGCACTATTGTGTCCCTAGACAGCACTCCTATGCCAGTAGTGCATTGACTGCTTGAAAATGCCTAATGGATGGAGCTCTTTTGGCAAATACTGTGTATGAAAGAGAAACAGATTTTTCTCTGAACTTGGAGGATAATCTGCCCAGCTAGAGCTTCCAGGGATTCTCCTGTCTTTACCCCCATTAGCACTGGGATTATAGATATGAACCACGTAGGTGCTAGACATATAATCTCTAAGCCCTCATGATTGTGTGGCAAACACTTTGCCAACTGAGATATAGCACAATCATTTTTTATTATTAAAAAATTTTTAGAGATAAGAGTTTAATATATCACATGTTGGTTTCAAACTATCTTTGACTGAGGATGACTTTGAACTTCTCATGTCCTTCCCCTACCTGCCATATGCAAGGCTTGTAGGCATGTGCCACCAGGCCTGGTTCATTTGATTCTGGGACTCTTCCCTGCATGATAGGTAAGCATTCCACCAAATGAGCTAAATCCTCAACCCTGATTTTTACGGGTTTTTTTTTTTTTTGGTTTGGTTTTTTAAGACAGGCTTTTTAGACCAGACTGGCCTCAAACTCACAGAGATTCGCCTGCCACTGCCTTTAGAGCCCTGGGATTAAAGGCATGTACCACCACAAACCAGCTGATTTTTAAGGTTCTTTTGTTTTTGTTTTTTGTGACAGGATTTCTCTATATTGTTTTGGAGTCTGTCCCTGAACTCCCTCTGTAGACCAGGCTTGCCTGGAACTTACAGACATCCACCTGCCTCTGCCTCCCAAGTACTAGGATTAAAGGTGATGCTGATTTTTGGGTTTTTTTTTTTTTTTTTTTTTTTTTTTGGTTGGTTGGTTGGTTGGTTGGGTTTTTTCCCCCAAGGTTTCTAAAGTCTGCTTTTTAAGGTTTTTCGGGGAATTAGATTTGGAAGTGTTCCTTTGTCAAAGGTTTTACTCATTTATTCACCAATTTGTCATTTGTTCCTGCTTTTCTTTTTCTTCTTTTGGCTTTTGAGACAGGGTTTCTCAGTATAGCCCTATCTGTTCTAGAACTTACTATGTTGACCAGGCTAATCTCAAGCTCAGAAAAATTGTTCACCACAACTGCCCTGCAGAAAATTTTTTTTTTAATTTAGCTATTTTCTTTTTATGAATGAATGCTTTTTTCTGCATAAATATATATGTACCATTTGTGTGCCTGGTGCAGGTGGAGGTCAGAAGATGGCATTAGGCCTCTTAGGACTATAGTAATAGATGACTGTGAATCTCTGTGTGAATAGAACACAGGTCCTCTGGAAGAGGAGCCACTGCTCTTAACCATTGAGCCATCTCTCCAGCCCCTTTGCTTTTTTTTTTTTTTTTTTTTTTTTTTTTTTAAGGTTTCAGTATGACTAATTAGGTAGTATAGGTTAGTCTAGGACTCTGATCCTCCTGTCTTATCCTCCTAAGTGCTAGGATTACTGGTGAGCCAGTTGTCTCAACTGTTGAATGAATTTTTCTAAGCTGAGTTTAAATTCCTTTTATTTGAAAGACTTGTTCTCTCAATTTAGCTCCTGATGGCTATCCTGGAACTCACAGAGATCCTCCTCCCTTGGCCAGCCAAGTGCTACACTTATCTATCTGAACTGCTGATTGGAGCTTGAACTGTCCTTTTAGGCAGGTTTTCTCTTACTTAATTGTTGGAAGGTAACTGGATGGAATTGCATAGAATACTTGGGTTGTTTTATTGTTTGGGGTTTTCTCATTCTTTGTGTGTGAGGTCTTGTGTGTGTGTGTGCCTATGCATGTGCACACACTTGGAGGCCAGAGATTGATGTTGGGGGGCCTGCTCTTATTATTTCCCTTCATGTTTTTGGACAGGGTCTCTTGATGAAGTCATAGCTTACCTGTTGGCTAGACTGGCTGGCCAGCAAGCTGGGAATCCAGTACCTCTGCCCCACCCCCCAAACACTAGTGTCACAGACATGTGCCACCATGCCCAGCTTGGATTATTTTATACTTAAAGGTTTGAAATGAAAAACAAAACAAAAAAACCTAATGAGCTAGTGGAACCTGTTGGGTTGATGAATCCCAATTCATTCATTCATTTTTGTTTCGGCAAGCAAGAGGCTGTGCCTACATCACCAAAGAGAGAGAATACTAAAAGGTTTTGTTGTTTGTTTTGCAAACTCACTATGTCTAAAAACCTACATATGCCTGAAGAGTTTGCCTTTTAGAAGTAGAGAAGACATAGAACTTCTGGCCTTGAACTCAGAGATCTGCCTGCCTCTAAGCCACCACTGTCTGGCTTTTTTTTTTTTTTTTAACATTTTATTTAAAATATAAAATTTTCATTTTTATGTATGTGGATGTTTTGCCCACATATATTTTTATTCATAGAGCCTTTAGAGGCCAGAAGAGGGCAGTCACATTCCATAGAACTGGAGTTGTAAGCTGCCACATGGGTGCTGAGAATCTAACCAAGTTCCTTTGGAAGAACAGCTAGTGCTCTTATCTTCTGGACCATCTCCCCAGCCTCTTTCTCTTTTAATTTTTTAAAATTGCATTTATTTGTATGTGCGTATGTGCAGAGGTTAAAGGGTAACTTGTGGGAGTCAGTTCCCTCTTTCTACTGTGTGGGTCCCATCTGACAGATCATACTCATATCATCAGGTTTGGTAACAGGTGTCTTTAGTCACTGAGCCATCTTTCTAGTCCTCCTCTTATCCCTCTTTCTTTTTTTAAAGATAAAAGTCTTACTCAGTAGCTTAGACTGACCTGGATCGCACTGTGTAGTACAGGATAGTACATAACTTGAAGCTTATAGGTGTAAGACAGCATGCTCAGCTATTAGCTTTTCTATGAAGAGTCGAGCTTAGTAGGGTGAGCTGTGATCCTAGCATTCAAGACAGAGGTGAAAAGTAAAATGATCAGGGATTCAAAGCTACCTTCAGCAACATGATGAGTTCAAGGCCAGCCTGGATTATATGAACTCTGTCCTTTAAAAACTTGCAAAAAATCTCCTGGGCTGGCAAGATGGGATGGGTAAAAGACATTACTGTGTAAGCGGATAACCTTAGTCCAGTCTCCAAAATCCATGGTAGAAGGAGAGAATCAGCACCGGAAAGTTGTCCTGTAACCTCCACATGTACATGAGCCATGACTGTCAGACCCACAGTCACAGATGCATCATGCACATACACACAATAATAAATAAGTGAAAAATATAAATGAAGTGTTAATCTAATTATTCTTTATCAATAAAAATTCAGGAGTCAAAATTGGGGTAAGAATCTGAAGGATCAGAGAAGTCACCAGTCCCTTTCTAACTGCGCCACCCCTTCCTCCAAAAGGGTCCTGATCTCTCTGCCTGCCTTACTACTACAGTCTTCCAAAACATTCTGGTTCTGTTTGTTTGTTTTGTTTGGGGGAGGGGTTGAGACTGGGTTTCTCTCTGTAGCTTTGGGACCTGTCCTCACAGAGATATGCCTGTCTCTGCCTCCCGAGTGCTGGGATTAAAGTCGTTTGCTGCCACCACTTGGCCAATTTAATTGTTCTTTATCAATAAAAATTCAGGAATCAGGTATTGGAACCTGAAAGATAAGAGAAACAGAGAAGTCCCCTTTCCACCTGCTTTACTACTTCCTGTCCTAGCTGTTCAGTCCTTCAAAACCTCTTTTTTTAAATTTGGTTGACTAGTAGCTAGCTTCACCTTCTGACTTCAAGCAAGCTTTATTTGTCAGAACATCATCAAAATACCATACAACATATAAGAATATTAATTGATAGTAGTTATGTAATTATTTAAGAACTTATGGCCAGGACTGGGAATGTAGCTGGGTTGGTAGAGTGCTTGCTTGCCTAGCATGCATGAAACCCTGGGTATGATCCCCAGCTCTGCATAAATCAAAAGTCGTGATTCAGGCAGTAATCTCAGCATTCTGGGGGGTAGAGACAATTAATTAATAAATAAATAAAAATTAAAAGAAAAACCCACAACCAAAAAATTAAGTTTTTACTTTTCTTCTCTTGTTTTTTGAGTTCACTGCACAGTAGCCCAGGATGGCCTTGAATTCTCAGAAGTCCTCTTGCCTTAAGTCTACCAAGTTTTGTGATAACAGGCCCGAGCTACCACACACAGCACCTCTCCTAGTCTTGATTTTTGACAAGACATAATCACTACATCTATCTAAACAACCACACTTACCTGGTTACCATATCAATAAGTAGAAACTAGCTTAATCACTGTTCTTCCTTTTTCTTGCCCCGTGTATTCGCCCAGCTGGGCACACAAAATCGGGGCTCACATTTGTCATCTAAATCAAGAAATACTGAAATTTCAGGATGGCAGTGTAGTTCACTCAGTAGATTGCTTGCCTAGCATGCACCAAGTCCTGGAACTGCATAACTGTGGTGATAAACTGTGGAGATGAGTCAGGACAGCCACGGCTACACAGAGAAAACCTGTCTTTAAAAAAAAAAAAAAAAAAAAACTATCCCTCCCCCCCAGAAAAAGGCAAGACGACACTAGCCAAAAGAAAACCTCTGAAAATTCCATTTTTCTAAAGAAATTGTGTATTACAACACTGTAGCAAGCCGATTTTAGGAATTTCCTTTGTAATTTATTTCATGACCAGATAGGTAGGCTTGCTGAAAGTGTGGGTTCTTCCAGTCTATTTAAGAAACTGTAATAGTCTCAGAATAACATTCAGTAGTGTAAGGTGTTTCTTTGGTTTTCATTGTTTTTGTTTTGTTTAAGTCATAAAAGAATTGCTTTGGATTGGGGGAAGGCAGGAGAGATGGCTCATTGATAGCACTAGCTGCTGCTTTTGCAGAGGACAGCACGCACTTTAAGCAGCTCATAACTGCTTGTTCCAGGGAATTCAGTGCCCTCTTCTATTGTGATAATATTATTTATGATTCAATAAAGATTGCCTGAAGTATCAGGAAGCAAAGACAAATTGATACTAATTTGAGATTAATTTTGTTAAAACATACTGTACATACATTTCTAATCTTGTTCAAGTTATTGTACCTTTAACAGTGTAATGCAAATTTCTAGTCCTTGAAAGTTATTATTAGCAACTATATATAAGAATAAGAAAATGCAGGTTAGTAATTAGTCACCTATTACAATCAAAATTGTAGTCACATTAGATAATGTTTTCAAGGTCAAACGATATATTTTAGAGAGATAGGTTATCCTCCAACACTTCAGAGATCTACAGGGTATGGCATTTAAGATGTTTTAATAACATAGGTCCTTTTTTAATTTTTTTTTCTTTTTAATGGTAATGAGACATGTCTGCTCCTGGCAGCACCAATCTACTTCAGAGAAGATGCTGGGCATCAAAGAAACTCACATGGAGTTTACTTTCTTTGTTGCAAAAGTAGCCACTGGGCAAGAAAGTACCCTTGCCTCGACTGCTGACAGTTTGCTGTCCAAAATGGACAAACTGGACACAAAACAGAATGAATGCTAAACCTGCAAGACAGGACAGCCCTTCAGAAAATCCTGCTTCACAGGAAAGTCTGTTACATATGCTAAGCCTGTAAGCCGAAGGTGGTTATTTCTCATATTTTTTTGGAAGTTGCTTGCTTGCTCTTCCTGTTTACCATCTTGGGTCTATGAGGGAGTTGAAGACTAGATAGTTATAGCTTTCCTTGTTTACCAGACTCAGAAAGGAAACTTACTAAAGAAATGTAAAGTATATAAAGTTGAGAGACATAAAAAGGTAATTGGATAGTGCAAATTAGAATAGAAAATAAATTAGATACAGGATTTTGGATTTACCAAGGTATTACAGATAATGGAGTATTTTCTCTGTATTTGTCAAATGCAAATGGACTAGACATTGTTGATGAACTTCTTGCCTGTATATATTACATATACTTATTGTATTATTGTATATAGTTTCTCTTATGTTAGTTATAGCCTTTTTGTATTAGACAAAAGGAGAATTGTGGTAATAAATTATTTATGACTTAATAAAGATTGCCTGAAGTATCAGAAGGCAAAGCCTGACACAACCACACTAGTTAGCAGTAGCAGGTAGGCAATGGTGGCACACACCTTTAACCCCAGAATTCAGGAGACAGACACCCTGACCTACACAAGAGTGAAGAGTAACAGAGCTCATGCCTTTGATCCCAGCACTAGGGAGGTGGAGACAGGAAGATATGGCTGGGCAGAGAAAGGTATATGAGGAGGAAGAAACAGGAATTCAGAGATTTTTGCCTCTGAGGATTCATGGAGTCAGGATTGTCATTTTAGCTGGGTAGAGGTAAGATCTACTGGTTTAGCTGCTTTGCTTCTCTGGTCTTCATTCAGCTTGAAGTTTGAACCCCAATATCTATCTCTGAGTCATTTATTTTTCATGTTAGACTCTTCTGCCTTCCATGGGCACCCACACACATAAATAAATGTAAATTCATACACACAAGAGTTTGGAGCTGGTGAGGGGGTTCATTGGGTAAAGGCACTTTCCACCAAAGCAGATTACCTGAGTTCAGTCCCCAGAACCTCCATGTTAAAGGAGAACACTGACTTATGCAAGTTGCCCTCTGACCTCCACCTGTACACCATGGCACATGTATACTTAGAGAATAAATAAATGTAGATTTTAGAGTAATAGTTTGATTGACATATGAGGTATCATGTCTTGTTTTATGATGAGCCTCTGGAAATATTTCAATTGCTATAAACCCATCTTATCTCTATCTTTCCTCCTAGGAAACCCCAGCTTCTCCAAGGAGTCTATGCCATGGGCTTCAATCGACCATCCAAGATCCAGGAGAATGCGTTACCCATGATGCTTGCTGAACCGTGAGTATAGACCCAGCTGTACCTCTTCATAGCTGGTTTAACTAAGTTTTTCACGAATGGCTTTATTGTTTCTGGGCACAAAATGGGCTGTCTGGGACAACCTGCCTTCTCAGGAAAAGAGCTTTAGAAGTACAAGGAGAATCTCATGGATGTGAGCACTTTTCTTTTTCTTGGGGTTTGTTTGTTCATCTTTAATTTGGTTTTTCAGTAAAGGATTTCTCTGTGTGTCCCTGACTGTCCTGGAACTCGCCCTATAGACCGGGCTTACATCAATCAAACTTACAAGAACCAAGGCCTGCCTTGGTCTCCCAACTGCCTGACTCAAATTTCAATTTTATTTAAAAAATTCATTTATTATGTATATAGCATTCTGCCTACATGTCAGAAGAAGGCATCGAATGTGAGCCACCATATCGTTGCTGGGAATTGAACTAAGTACCTCTGGAAGAGCAGCCAGTGTTCTTTAAGCTCTGAGCCATCTCTCCAGCCCATTAGATTTCTTTTTTTATATAAATATATTTTTTAAGATTTATTTTTAGGTGCTGGAGAGATGGCTCAGTGGTCATGAATACTAGTTACTCTTTCATAGACCAGGGCTCAATACCCAGCACCACATGGCTGCTTACAACTGTCTGTAACTCCAGTTCCAGGTGATTTGACACCCTCACACATGTAGGTAAAACAATGCACTGAATACAATGCACTGAATACAAAAATAGTAAATCATTTTTTGTAAAAGATTTATTTATAATTATGTATATAGCTATATGTATATATCTGTGTGTGGGTATGTGCATGTGTGTCCGAAGAGTCTAGACGTGGGAGTTGGATGTCCTGGCTCTGGAGTTTGAGGTGGTTGTGATCCCTACCATACAGAGGCACTGGGAACTGAACTTCGGTCCTGTGAAAGAGCAGAATGTCCTCTTAACCACTGAGCCAGCTCTACATCTCTGTGCACTCTGTTCTTAACTATTTCCATTTAGCAATAAAAATAAAATAAGCTATTTTAGACAAATGGTTCTCAACTTTCCTAATGCTATAACCATATAATACAGTTCCTCATGTTGTGTGACCCCAAACCATAAAATTATTTTCTTTGCTACTTAACTAATTTTGCTAATGTAATGAATGGTAATGTAAATATCTGTTTTTTTCCAGTGGTGTTTAGGTGACCCTTATGAAAGGGCTGTTCAACCACCAAAGGGCCTCAACCCATAGGTTGAGAACTGATGTTTTAGACAGTTATAACATGTTTCATTTAAATTTTTTTTAGCTGGGCAATGGTGGTGCATGCCTTTAATCCCAGCACTTGGAGGCAGAAGCAGGCGAATCTCTGTGAGTTTGAAACCAGCCTGGTCTACAAGATCAAGTTCTAGGACAGCCTCTAAAACCACAGAGAAATCCTGTTTTGAAAAAAAAAAAATTTTTTTTTTTTCTCATGTTTTAGATAATATTTTGGAGCTGGGTATCTGGTGGATCACACCTATAATTCTACCCTTTGAGAGGCTGATGTAGGAGGATTTTGATTTCAAGACCAGAGTGTACTACAGTGATATATTGTCTCAAAATGAAATAAATAATCCAGAAATAATATTTGAAAATTACTTTGGAGTTGGGAATGTACCTCAGTGGTAGACCGATTCCTTGGCATTCTTTTTATTTTTTTATTTCATTCATTTTGATTTTGTTGAGACAGGGTTTCACTGTGTAGTCTTGGCCTACCGGGAGCTGGTTGTGTAAACGAAGCTCTACTGAATGCTGGGGTTAAAGGTGTGTACTAACACTCCTGGCCCTTGCTTGGCATTCATTCTTGATGACCTAGGTTTAATCTCTCCTTTTTCAAAAACAAACAAACAAACAAAAATGGTTCAAAAACTGTTTTGAGGGGCTGAAGAGATGAGTCAGCAGTTAAGAGCACTTGCCCCTCTTCCAGAGGTCCCAGGTTCAATTCCTAGCAGCTACATCATGGTTCACAACCATATATATAACTAGTCCCAGAGACTCTGATTCCCTCTTCTGGTCCTTGAGAGCACCAAGCATACAAGCGGTCCACTGACATACACGTAAGATAATTTTTAGAAAGTATACAGAATGTAAATTTTAACACTAGTCCAGTTGCGTGTGGAACCTCCCTTAAATCCTCCTTCCCACCACTTGCTTACCCTCTCTGAAGCAGATGCCATCTGAGATGGGTTATTATCTCCTTGGATGTTTTGTTGTTTTGTACTTTCACTAAGTGCATAGTTATCAAAGGGCAGCTTGCATATTTTTAAGTATTTTTAATGTGTGGACAAATGATGCTGTATTTTGTATAATTTTATTAGATCAACTTCTTTTTTTAATGACAAAATACCATGGGATTAGCTCAGGTGAGATAGATTCTAAAGGTTCCTTCTAAAACACTTATTCGAGCTAATTATGAGCTCAGCATGCAGAAGTAGGATCATGGATCATGAGTTTGAGGCCAGCCTCCTGTGCTAGTTAATAAGACCCTGAAAAAGGAAAGGAAAATGTACTGCCTAGCCAGTGTCTTACATTATCTGTAAGGATGAGAAGAGTGCATTCAGAAAGAGCTGAAATTTGGAGACATGTTACATAGCTCAGCAGAAAACATCACTGGGACTTTGGTGGTCCAGCTCTTACTCTGCATTATTGATCTCCCTGGGACATTTGGATCACAAAACTAGGATACTACAGAGTTTGGAGTGAGAGTTTTGATAGTATGAATCCATCTAAATAATCATTTCCTTTTATTGGGGCAGGGAGGTTGGTGTTTTCCAGACAGGGTTTCTCTGTAGCTTTGGAGCCTGTCCTGGATACACAGAGAAACCCTGTCTCAGAAAAAGAAAAAAAGAATGTAGTTCAGTGGCAGATTGCTTGCATAGCATGTGCCAGCGCACAGGTTCAATTCTCAGCATTGCCAAATGAAGTAATGTATTAAAGTTAATTTATGTTCAGTGCAGAAACATAGATGATATAAAGAAACTTTTGTTTTTTGAGACAGGGTTTTTCTGTGGCTTTGGAGCCTGTTTTGGAACTAGCTCCTGTAGACCAGGCTGGCCTCAAACTCACAGAGATCAGCCTGCCTCTGCCTCCTGAGTGCTGGGACTAAAGTTGTGCACCACCACCACCCAGTATATTTTGATGTTTGATTATGGGTTTTATTTGTTTTTCAAGACAGTTTCTTTGTATGTATAGCCCTAACCTGGAACTAGTTCTGTAGACCAGGCTAGTCTTGAACTCAGATCCTTCTGCCTCTGCCTCCCAAGTACTGAGATTAAAGGTGTGCACTACCAACGCCTGGCAGATGTTAGATTTTGTTTTTTTAAAATATGTATTTATTATATATAGTGTTCTGCCTACATGTATGCCTACTAATAGAAGAGGGCACCATATCTCATAGATGGTTGTAAGTCACCATGTGGTTGCTGGGAATTGAACTCAGGACCTCTAGAAGATCAGTCAGTGAGTGCTCTTTAACCTCTGAGCCACCTCTCCAGCCCTGGATGTTTGATTATGTTTAATCAATATTAACTTTCTTCTGCCTAACAAAACTTAACTATGGAAATCAATTTGCTCTTGAACTCACATAATCTGCCTGTTTCTAATTTCTAAGTGCTGGGGTTAAAAGGATGGATCACCACATCTTGCTCTAATACTGAATTATTTGTGTTCTTTGTCAATGCAGCCCACAGAACCTGATCGCCCAGTCACAGTCTGGTACTGGGAAAACAGCTGCCTTTGTTTTAGCTATGCTCAGCAGAGTGGAACCCGCAGACAGATACCCTCAGGTGAGCATTAGAAACCTGGGGGCTCTGGCTTGCCTGCCCTGGGCGGTGTAGTGCCAGCTGATAAGGTATGACTAACTTTAGTCTTTGGCTCCTGCAAAGCAGGTTAAATGCTTCAGTCCTTTTTTGGTTTTTTTTTTTTGTTTGTTTGTTTGTTTGTTTGTTTTTGTTTTTTTTTTGTTTTTCAAGACAGAATTTCTCTGTATTGTTTTGGAGCTTGTACTAGATCTGTAGGCCAGACTGGCCTTCAACTCAGAGATTCGCCTGCCTCTGCCTCCCGAGTGCTGGGACTAAAGGCATGTGCCACCACTGCCTGGCTAAGCAGTAGTTTCTTCTACCAGTACTGAGCCAGGGCTCCCACTAGGGCAGGGTTCATTCCCCACTGAAGGCATTCATTCAACAGGTGATAGGTGGGCCTGCTTGCTGTGCAGGTGGAGGTCCCCTGCACTATTTCAAAACATAATAGCATCAGTATGCTTGTGGGCTTAGGCATGTTGTCTATTACTAAACTCATCTGTGATTTCTCTGCCAGTGTTTGTGCCTATCCCCAACATATGAACTGGCACTTCAAACAGGAAAGGTGATTGAGCAGATGGGCAGATTTCATCCAGAACTGAAGCTAGCTTATGCTGTTCGAGGCAATAAATGTGAGTATGTGGGATGAGACCTAAAAATAAACCTGGGCTGCCATGCCTGACAACAGGGACTCATTTCTCATAATGGAATGTTATTGTACATGCATTGGTAATTTTACAAATATTTTTATCAGTTTCAGTTTGAGCTAGCTGAAGTTTCAGAGAAAAGTGTGTGTGTGTGTGTGTGTGTGTGTGTGTGTGTGTGTGTGTGTGTGTGTGTATACGTGCGTGCATGTACATGTGCGCTTGCCGTGTTTTCAGCTACAGATTTGTCCTTTGGAAAACTAGCTGTACAAGTAGAATGTCTATAGACTGGAAAGCCGAACAGAGTCTGTGCCAGGACCTTGACTAAGCCACCAGTTTAGGAGGAAAGAAGTGAACTACATGGGAAATGGATGATAAATAGTGTTAAAGAAGAGCTGCCAGATACTAAACGTAGGAGAGGCTGGAGAGATGGCTCATAGGTATTAGGTAGAGCACTTGTTCTTTCAGAGGACCCACGTTCAATTCCCAGGACCCACATGGGGCAGCTTACAACTTTCTATAACTCAAATTCCAGGGTTTCTAGATCCCTCTTCTGGACTTTGAAGGTACCAGGCATACCCCCCCCCAATCTAATAAAAAAATTTTTTTCAAAGTTTTTAGGAGAAAGTAGAAACTTGTACATTTGTAACATGAAAATTAAAAGCCCAGAGACAGATATTGGGGCTCAAGCTGAAGATCAGAGGAGCAAAGCAGCCAGCCACTAGCTCTTACCTGTACCTCAGTTTGAAAGGGCTATCCTATCCTCAATGTGGCTGGAGAATAAATCCCTAAGACTGAATACTGAATGCCTTATGCTCCCTCTAGAGTTGGGATTAAAGGCATGGGATCCCGAGTGCTGAGCTGTTCTCTTTTAGCCTTACTAATGTAACCCTGGGTAGCCTTGAACTCACAGAAATCTATCTACCTTTGTCTCCTGACTTCTGGGATTAAAAGTGTGTGCCAGTACTGCCCAACTTCTATAGCTAACTAGTATGGCTAACTTTGCATTTTGATCCTTCAAGCAATCTTTATTAAATCATAAATATTTATCACCACACACATTTTGTGTCTAAAATGCACTGGATTGTCCTACTTCACAGTAGAAGAAGGCAAGGCTTAAGGATGACATTCATGTGTGTTTAGTTTATGCAGTGGGAGAAGTATAGTAGCCACTGTGTGTGTTAAGGTGAGGATGTCAGAGTCAGTGCTTCCCCTTCCACCACGTGGTTTCCAGGATTGAGAAGTTCTTCAGGCCTGATGGGTGCCTTTACATGCTCTGCCATCTTACCAAACCCTATATATGTTTTGAAATCTGGAGGTGATTTGTTCTGACAGTTCTGAGAAGATGTATAAGGCTTTTATTTCCAGAGCTAGCTTTCCTTAAGAAAACATGTCTTGTCCACAGTGGACAGAGGTCAGAAGGTCAGTGAGCAGATTGTCATTGGCACTCCCGGGACCGTCCTGGACTGGTGCTCCAAGCTGAAGTTCATTGACCCCAAGAAGATCAAGGTGTTTGTTCTGGATGAGGCTGACGTGATGATAGCAACTCAGGGCCACCAAGACCAGAGCATCCGCATCCAGAGGTAGGAACTGGAGCCAGGAGGAACTGCCACAGCCTCCTCCTGCATCTTTGGGTTCTTTGCTCTGTTCTGTGCAGCAGTATTTGTGTGATGGGCGATTTCCACATGCTCTCACCATGCTCCCAGCCTGGGCTGAGAAGGGAGACATGGGACCCTCACTCAGCCCAGTGCCACTCTGGGGCCACAGCCCACCCAGGCTGTGGAGGCTGGGCTTGTGTTCTTTCTGACAAAACCGTTGGAGTCATGCAAAGTGCCTGGGCCTCCACTTGCAGGATGCTGCCCAGAAACTGCCAGATGCTGCTCTTCTCTGCCACCTTTGAAGACTCAGTGTGGAAGTTTGCCCAGAAGGTGGTCCCAGACCCCAACATCATCAAACTTAAGCGTGAAGAGGAGACTTTGGACACCATCAAACAGTATTATGTCCTTTGCAATAACAGAGAGGAGAAGTTCCAGGCCCTGTGCAACCTGTATGGGGCCATCACCATCGCCCAAGCCATGATCTTCTGCCATGTGAGTAACTGCTGCAGTCCTACAGGGGATGATGCACTCACTGCCCCTCCTGTACTCAGCCCCACTTCCTTTGTTAAAGAGGACCAAATTCTCTGTGTAGGAAGGAACTGGCTTGTAGGAATGGAGAAGAATGGAGAAGAGGGTTTCTTAACTGGCCATGTCCTAGGAGTTACATTGCTTTAACACAGCCAGAAAAGTAGCTATTTGTAGGGGATATATGGAAAAAAAAATCTAAAAGAAGATACTGATGATTGGAGGAAAAAGAAGAAATGCAACAAATTGGTTAAATTGTCACAGGAAGAAACAGTTGAAAATACTGTTAGGAAACAAAAGAATGAGGCACTTCATCTTCTGTTAGTACAAGACTTTCTACTGTGATTTTATTTTATTTTGGTTTGGTTTGTTGTTTTGGTTTGGTTTCTCTGGCTGTCGTGGAACAGGCTCTGTAGATGAGGCTGGCCTCACATTCAGAGTCACCTGCCTCTGCCTCCCAAGTGCTGAAATTAAATTTACAGTATATTCTCTTAACTACTGAGCCATCTCTTCAGCCCCTTATTGCCTTATGTTGTGCTAAACCTGAGGCAGTCCAGGATTGCTTTTTGCATTCAGTAGTTCTATAACTTGAGACTTCCCTTACTCAGAACCATCCCTTCATATCTCTGACATAGCATGTCTGACATGTGTCTTCAGGACAGGGACAGCTGAAAGAATTTGATTTCCCTTACCCCTCTTGGGACCCATCCAGGTCTGTTTTGGTTTTGAGATGAGGTCTTACTATATAGCTCAGTCTGGTCTTCAACTTCAAGTTTTTCTGCATCTGCATTAAGTGTGGTTTTTTAATTAATTAGTTTTGTGTTTTCACATGCTGCAGCATGTCAGGCTATCTGGGAAGTTGGCAGTCTTCGTCCACCATGTGAGTCTCTGGACTCAAACGCCAGTCATCCTTGCCCACTGAACCTTTTCTCCAGACCTAAGTGTATTTTTATAGTGGTAGCATTGTTCAATTGATTCTCAGGTGATTTGCTTGTTATTGTACAGTCAGATTGGTAATTTAGCATTCTTAACGCTTATCTGGTAACTTTCAGATAGTCTTCTGGGTCTACAATAGTCTCTTTAGGTACTAATATCACTAAGATGTTTGGTTATTGTTTTTGTTTGTTGTTTTTGTTTTTTTTTTTCCCCCCCAGACCCGCAAAACAGCTAGCTGGCTGGCAGCAGAGCTTTCCAAAGAGGGCCACCAGGTGGCTCTGCTGAGTGGAGAAATGATGGTGGAACAGAGGGCAGCTGTGATTGAGCGCTTCCGGGAAGGCAAAGAGAAGGTCCTGGTAACCACCAACGTGTGTGCCCGTGGTGAGCAGACACTGGCCCGTTCACCAGGCGTGGGGTCCCAGGCCCCGTGAGCGAGAAAAGTGCTTGTATCCGTGGTCCCACGGAGGTGGGGGGGGGTTGTAGGGACATTCCTTTGTGGGACAGTAAGAGCCACTTGGAAGAAGCCAGCTTGGTGGGAAGACACTCGGGCTTCCAGACGCTAGCTTTCTTACTTCTGCCAGAGTTCTTTCTGTTCTTCTGCCTGAGCTACAGTCCTGTAGGTGTCCTCTTTAGTGCCCACAGCCCAGATGTGACCTGTCCAAGCCACGCCTCCAGTGGAAGTGTGTGTGTGTGTGTGTGTTTGACGGTGACCCCTTTGTCTCCTGCCTGCCTCTCCCCAATCCCTTTGTGCAGGTATTGATGTTGAACAAGTGTCTGTCGTCATCAATTTTGACCTTCCTGTGGATAAGGACGGGAACCCAGACAATGAGACCTACCTGCATCGCATCGGGCGCACGGGCCGCTTTGGCAAGAGGGGTCTGGCAGTAAATATGGTTGACAGCAAGCACAGCATGAATATCCTCAACAGAATCCAGGAGCATTTTAGTGAGTCCCCGGAGTTAGCTATGCCTGGAACCCTTTTCGGAGGGGAATGTGGGAGAGGGGAGGTTTCCTCTGGCCCCGCACAGCTGTCTCCACCTGGATGTTGTCAGGGAGAGCGCCTGCACATTCAGGGCTCAGGGACTGGAGTATCAGTGCCCTGGCACCAAGCTAGGAGAACCTGACAGCTTCCCTGGGAGGTCATTCTGAGTGACCAGGGGACCTGTTGCCAGCTGCTCAGGCTCAGGAAGCTTGCTTTGTGCCCATAGCTAGGCCCCTCCCCAGTCTGTCCTGCTGTTTGTTCTAGATGACTTCCGTTGCATTTCCATGGTAGTCCACGGTGTTCTTCCAATCTGTTTTTCCCTCAGATAAGAAGATAGAAAGATTGGACACAGATGATTTGGATGAGATTGAGAAAATAGCCAACTGAGAAGCTTCACCAGCGACTGGCGCCACCCTCAGCACTGTCCCTGCCTGGGAGCCTCGTGCTTTCATGGCATAGGCCTTGACAGGCACCGCAAAGACCAAGGCCTGAGTAGAGACTACCTACCTCATTCAGAATTACGTTTGGACTTGACAAATTTGTGCAAAGACTAGGGGGAAATCCAAGAAACAATTTAGCATTTTAGAAAATAGTCCTAGCCCAATGTGGTGATACACACCTTTAGTCCTAGCACTTGAGAGGCAGAGGCAGGAGTATCTCTGAATTCCAGGCCAGCCAGATCTACAGAGTCCCAAGGTAGCCAGAGCTACAAAGTGAGACCTTGTCTCAAAAAAAAAATGTCCTCAACTCTATCTCCCTTTAATATTGCAATATGGTTGCTGCTGGTGACGTTTGTGCCCAGAACTTGCTGCCAACTCTGGCTGCATGTGTTTGGATCAACACTCCAGCCTTGAATAAATGACAGAGGCAAAAGTGGTTCAGAGAGGCCAGGAGAGCCCTGGCTGTAGGTGAGATACCTTTTATAGAACCAGTAGAGCCTTGAGTATCCCACCCACCCATTCCTCTTGTTGAGCATCTTGTCTGCTGCTTTATTATTCAGATTGGCAGACAAGATAGAATTCAGCAAAATCATAGACTCAGAGGAAGATTGGCATATCGGCCCTTTGAAGATGGGCACTGTCTTTCCTCCTGTTCACTTCATGTGTTCTGTACCTGTCTGTTGTTTGGTTCTAATCCATGGGATTTCATGCCAAGCAGCAATTTAGAAAGGAAGTTATAACCAAACAAAAACTTCATTATGCCATTATCAGACTTATGGGTTACTTCATACATTGATTGTATGAGTAAGATGAGATAAATCAGTGATAACATTTTCGGAAATTCTAAAGTGATTATGAGGATTTTACTAATCATGGTATGTTTTTGTATTTTTCTGCTTACTAGACTAATATATGCTCATTTGAAGTGTGTATGATAGTGCTGTGTGTTTCCTCCAGAGGCACCATAGCGGCCTGCTTGCGCAGCATAGGCTGCTTCTGTTTTACAGATGTGCGAGCACTTCCCACTACTTCGTAGCCATGTTTTGGAGGTTGCACCACATAAACATATATCTATTTTACTATGGAAGGTAGCTGATACCCTAATGTGGGACCACTCTGACATATATTTCACCATCTCCCTGTGATAGGTTTTGTGAATTTCTAGCTTGTTCCATTACTCAGAGTGCCAGAGTGATTAGCTCAGGACCTGTCTTGGATCATGGTGAGAACTGCTGTTACATTTCTGGATACATTTCTGGAGATAGGATTCTTGAGTCAAAGTGGGAACATTTAAAGTCTTAATTCACAAATTAAGCCTGTCCCCAAAAGCTCTTACCAATTAGTTATTACAGGGATATAAAAAACATTTTTACTTACGTATAAATTCTGTTGTATCCCCTTTTTATTGTTATTTTTTGAGATAGGGTCTCACTGTGTACCTCTAAATGTCCTGGATCTCACTATGTAGGTAGATTAGGCTGCCATGCCTGACTTTACACTATCAATTTTTAAAACTTTGCCAGACCAGGAGCTGGAGAGGTGGTTTGACAGATAAGGGCATGTGCTGTCCTTATAAAAGACCTTTGGTTCCCAGGACCCACACCTCGTTAGGTGGTTCACAACTGCCTGTTACATCCAGTCCCAGAGAGATCTGATGCCTCTGCTGTCTTTGGGCACCTGACAGTCATGTGTACCACACCTCCAGAGACATAATTACTTTTAACCCAAGCATTCTGGAGGCAAAAAGATCTTTTTGAGTTCCAGGACAGCCAGAGCTACATAGCCTGTGTCAAAGGCAAAAATGAAAACCATCTTTCTTATAAAGTCAATTTGTGGGTCATACATTTCTAAGTTTATGTAGATCTTAAGATGACTAGCGTGTTGGTGCTTACCTATAATCCTAGCCAGTGTAGTAGTGCCTGAATCCAGAGTTCATGGATTTAGCCTATACAACATAAGATTCCTTTTTTGGGAAAGGAAAAGAAAAACAATACAAAACATGTTTAGATGGTCTTTTGGATGTGAGAGTTTTTGGGTCCATAGAAAGGAATTGTGTGATGGGGTGTGGGTATATGGGCCAAAGTTCCAGCCCTTGAATGAAAGTGTGTGAGATCAATTCCAGGTCTATCTTGGAAGGATAATGTGGGAGATAACAGTGAGTGTGTGTGTAGGCATGTGAGCACACTGAAGTTTTAGTAAAGGGAATGAGAAGGCACAAAGCAAGATGGAGCAATAGTTAAAACCTGCACTGACCCTAGTGATGACACAAAGTGAAGAACATATCTTTAAAACAAGGCAGACAACCGGGCTGTGTTGGCATACGCCTTTAATCCCAGCTCGGGAGGCAGAGGCCGGCCGATCTCTGAGTTCGAAGACAGCCAGGGCTGGCTACACAGAGAAACCCTGTCTTGTCTGTGGACTGGTAAAGGAGCGATGGCTTTCATCCCAGGCCAGAGCTGATTCTACAGCCACCCTAGTATCAGTCCTGATCAGTTCTGTCTATGAATAAAACAGATGCAGCCTTTCTATATTGGTCCCCTATTTTAACAGAAGGAACAGTCCTCTATCCCTAGATTCAAAAGCCTTCATTATGACAGAAGGTTTAACCAAGAGTGCAAAGCCACACAGACCAGGGTACCAAGGAAGTACCTATTAGTGTTTGGGTAAATGGCATACCTCCTCAGCCTCCCAAGGACTATAGGAATGAGTTGCAATAGCTGTAAAGAGTACTCAAAATGGAATTCAAATACACAGAATTTTTTTTTTTAAAAAAAGCCTTTGATTATAAGGGGAACCAGGAAGCGTAGAGGGAAAATCCCATTACAAAACTTGCAGTATCTAAGACGTAACAGTATATTTAAAAAGTATTATAAAAAAAAAGAAAAAAGTATTCCTTGAAGGGGTTCTTTAAATTCAGTTCTGAAATTCATTTGATGCCTATTTTAGTGACTTAAGGTACGGACCCACCATTTTTACCCAGTAGTTAGTTCCCAGTTACTCTCCTGAAGTTTAAGCCTTTATCCTTAAAGATTATTTATTCTTAATGATATGCAAAGCCAGGGGAGGCACTACATGAGCCCAGCAGTTCTCCCAGGGAACCACTCTTGTAAAGCACTGGCAGCAAGATGGAGGCCTGTGTAGTGTGATTGGGTCAGCAGAAAAAGGCCAAAGACAGGAGACCTCCAGACCCCATGGGAAAAGGACAATTTTATGGGTGTGACATGTGCCAACATGAGCCTCTAGTGGAGACCTGCATTTATAAAAGGACTTTCCAGGTGAGCCAGGAACTCTTCTCCAGTCTTTTAATCTTTTAGAGGAGTCTGAAGAGGGGTCAGTGAATTCATGTTTGAGAAAGAGTCTCATGTAGCCTAGGCTAGCCTCAAACTTGCCATATAGCTGAGGTTAGCTTTTAACCTATTTTCCTATCTCTGCCTCCCAACTCCTGGGATTAAAGGCATATGCCACCATATCTGGTGCAATAAATTGATTTTTAAGTAGCAATACAGATAGTCCTTTGGGGGACTTCAGAGACCAGAGCCCATGAACTAGGCTCATGTAAGAGGGTATCAGAACTGCTTTGTTCTCCCAAACATCCATACCATTATAGTGCCTCCTTAGATACACCTAAGACCATACAGCTCAGAACAGATGAGTGACTCCATGGGGTTTGTTCTTTTTAATTCAGAAAAAGAAAGGGAAGGAAAAAATTTTAATGTTTAAATAACTAGAAAAGATCTGGGTTCTGGGACCTACCTCTTTCAGAATGGGGATTAATGGTTTAAACAAAACAAAAGGAGAAAGGGGAGAAAAATAAATTATTCTTCTCAATACTGTTTGGCATAATTGCATTGTTTTTCAACTTCTCATCATAGCAGCTTCTTGAGAGCAGAGATGAGACAGGCAAGAACAGACGGCTGGTGCCTTGGCTGTGAGATGGTTAGGGCCCTGAGAGGTTCTCCTGTGGTCCCACTCAGTTACCCCCTTTTCTCCACCCCAGCTTTTAGAACTGGGAAGGAACAGATTCAAAAAAGGTTTTCAGTGTATTAGTTCTTAGGAGTACCTGCTGCCTCACCCCAACCCTCTAGTACTCTCCCTTTGGGTGACTGTCCCCCAACCAAGAGGCTGCTTGGTAATGTCAACTAAGAATGGGAAATATTTATGTGGACACTGCAGGGAAGGGGGAGTACTTTCTGTGGCCTGAGACAGTACTTAAGCCCTTTCACCCATTGAATCTCAACCTTGACTTGAGTCGGGTCATGCAAGTAGCTTCCAGTTGTAACCCCCAATTCTTTACTCACCAGCCCTTTAGGAGCTGGAAAGTGGGTTAGAACAGGCGAGTAAGCAGGGTCAAGGTGCCGACAGGAGGAGGCATGCATGGCAGCCACCAATCCACTCCTCCCCAGCAAAGCTCCAGGCCATCTGCAAGGCCTGCAAAGAGTTGTCAAGCAATCTTGTTTGGACAGCCATCCATGGCAGCTTCAGGGTAACTAAAGTATGTGCCCAAAGCAAACCCTACCCCCAAGCAAGAGGCTGCCTGCTCCTCTTTGGGGTGACAATGAAAAAGGAACGTGCATAGGCAGCTGGGCTCTCCTTTCCAACCTGCTGCCCACTGTGCTGCTCTCCCCGTAGGGCTAAAGACACTGGCTGTGAGTGTGTGAGCAGCAGGGTCCCTCCCGGTGGTGTCATTTTGTCTCCAGATCAACAGGTGAACTGGAGAGAAAGCCCAGGGCCAAAGGTCAGACGCAGAGAAGGTGGTGGGGGACAGTAGGACTGAGGGTACACGTGAGAGAAGCACCTTGCATGTGACCCGGTGGAGCTTCTTACCCCTTGCTGACACCAGTGAGGCCCTAGGGAGGGTCACTCACCTACTACCTGGTGAGCCGCGGAGTGCCCAGGAGGTCTCACCGCAGCCACATTTCTTTGGCAGGCTTCACTCACCCATCCGGGCCTAACCTAGAAATGGGCAGTCCAAGGCGCTCCTGCCGGGACCAGAACTAGCCTCTTAAAAGGTGGAAAAGAAACTCTTATCCAAAGCAGGGTGAGGGGGAAAGGGGTCGAGGCCCCGCCGCCTCCCAAGGCCATGATTGGTGGAGACAGCGGCGCCGGAAGTTCTCCTTGAGTCGCATGATTGGCTGAGAAAGAAGCTCCGCCTGATGGCAGCACTGATTGGTTGCTGGGAACGGCGCAGAGTCTGATTGGTGGACGACAGCCTGTGCTCGCCGGACTGAGGCTTCACTGGTCCTGATGTCACCTAGGGCAGCTCAGTTCCCTCGGTAGACCTCGATCTTGCTGGCCTTGGCCAGCATGTCAATGATGTGGGCTTCGAAGTCAGCGTCATGCACGCCTGTCTTCCGGAACTCGCCCGCATACCGGTTGTTCTCCCAGTAGTGGTGCCAGTTGCCTCGGCTGTCAGCCCCGAACCCATACACGTTCACCTGTGGGGAGGGTGGCACAGTGGTCACTGGGAGGCAGGGACCTTGGTGTGGTAAACCCAAGCCAGACCTAAGGCCACTGACTCAGAGGGACCGCTGCCTCTTCTGTCTTTCTCACTCCGGCTGATCTCAAGCGGCTCCTGGCTCAACCACGCCATAGCTTACAGGTGCCACCATGACACAGCTATAAATTAACTTCTTAATGAAGTAATTTTATTTTATTATTTATTTATGTTTTTCGAGACAGAGTTTCTCTATTATCCTGGCTGTCCTGGAACTTCCCCTGTAGACCAGGCTGGTCTGGAACTCACAGAGCCTCCTGAGTGCTGGGATTAAAGGTGTGTGCCACCACCACGTCCAAATAAGTAATTTTTAAAAAGTGAAGTCAAAAAGGTAATAAAAATTTGAAAATACGAATATACTGTTTAAAGTACAGATATGAGAAAACCTAACCCACACCACTAGAGCCACTACTAAGATAGGAGAGGCTCGGTTTCC